TACATCTCTTAGGCCGGGGCTGACTTGCGAGGGCAGCAGTCACCTATTAAATTTCCCACTTATTTTTCTATCTTAGCATTGTCAGATAGCGCATCTGCCATCAAGTTCATTTTAATGCTGTTGCTATCTGTCTGTATCCCGAGGTAGTACTACAATCTTGCAGTTTGTAGGTGTATCTTAAATCATAAACATCTTGGGGGCTTACTTGCAAGGGCAGTGGTCTCCCAGTTAACAAGAATAAGAGTTTACAATTATTCGGATTTTCTTAGTTATATTACATTTCCCCTTCTGTTACCTTGTAATAGAGAAGAGGAGGCTGCTTGCAAGGGCAGCAGTTCCTGTTTCCATCGCTGCATTTCCTTTGGGTGGGGCGATCATCAGGATTGCAGAGAATCCTTTACTGGGCCATAAAATGTTTAATTTTGTTCCTCGTAAATTTCTCAAGATCTAAAAACATGTCTTAATTAAAGCGGCTATGGGCCTTTGTTCATAGCCATTTAACTTCAACCAGTGGTTTGTTTTGATTTGTGTTGGGGCCCAGTAAACGAGCTTCAGGATATGCAGCACTGATTTATTTATATATGTAGACTGGACAAAGGGGAAAAACATAAATGAAATTCTATTTAAAAGTTTCAGTTAAGGGTAAATTCTCGAGGTAGTCTATGGCACGGGATTGTTCCATGATAATGATTCTTCTACATTACGTCAAGATACTTAAAATGTCTCTGCTGTTTTGATATTGAGCCTCCGTAAAAAGTGTTAATATCTCGGTTGGTTTTGAGTGCTTTGTGGACACGCAACAATCATGGCTCCCGACTTTTTTGTATCACTAATACTTGTCGCAGTTGGCACATGTGTAACCAAGTCAAAGCTCCTTGAACAAAGCTCTCATGGAGTTTGTAAACGGTGAGCCTTTCACGAGTGAATCCTACGAGCGAAACTTTGAGGGAAACCTTGATCGAACTTTTGAGGAAACCCATGAGCACTCATAGCAGCAAAAGTATGAATCAAACGTAAGCCCAAACAAAGCCATTAGAAACATCAGCAGCACAACTGATCAGTCCACAATATCCAACCAAAACACTTTTGTGGCCGAGCAAATGAAACGCAATCAGAAGACTTACCTGATGAAAACAGAAATCATATTGTGGAATATTCTTTGTCCGTTCCCTGGTAAATTTTGCTTTTAATAAAGCGTTCAGGCCACAATTGTTCTAAATTACAATTTTAAGCCTTCATAGTCTTCTCACTGCGAGCTGCCAGTATATTGTTATTAACTTCACGTCAAACGAGCAACCGGCGAATTTTCATAGGGAAAAGCGAAGCGTTGTTTTCGTAACTGGCTATTTGTTTACTCTCTGTGAAAATCAGTATGCGTACACCCCTGAACATTGAAAAAAAGTTGTAAGACGACTTGCTATCATTTATCAGACAAAAGAAACAGCTGAAATTCTCAGTCTGGACTTTTTAACCAGTCTGCAGTTTGCACTCTGCGACTTGCACCTAGTATGTATGTTGTACCCATTCTGCAGTCAGCATTTGGTACTGACCGATAGCCAAAATGTGCACCCAACATCACCCCAGCTGTTCAAAGCAATTCCAAGTGGTCTCAACGTTATCCGAAAATCTGACGGCTCCAATTTTAAACTCCAAACAAGTTTTTGCTGCCCAATGGCTGAACACTATGGACCACTTTCATAAATGGCTGCTTGAGATAATGTACTCTTTTGAACTTTGTACTGAAGAACGAGGTCAGAAGGGCTAATTTAAATTTAAATAAAAGAATATTAATCCGGCAGCCATTTATGAAAGTAGTCTATACCTGGATATGCCGGTCGGAGGAACTTTATCCAACTCGAAACGACTTCTTGATTCATCTGAAACATACACACCACTTAGAGAATAAGATATCAAGCAACACAAAAAAATAGAAGCCTTTTCTATTCTCGCTGGATCAGGTATCCTGAGGCCTTGACTCCCAAAACCGGCCCTTCTCTTATATGTAAAACATATCAAAATAGTATACTCCGTATATATTATGTTTTCGCCCCTAAGAAAGAGAAAAGAAAATTATTTTCAAAATAAAAATAACGGATCAGAAGAATTACCAAAATATAACTTGTAGCGACCAATTTTTAGAAAAAATTTAGTGTAATTAGTCCCTGTAATATAAACTTCAACATATAAGCTGCGAATTTGTGATACCATTTTCTGTAGTGTTGGTATTGTGATGTAAAAAATGTTTATGTTTTTTATGTAACAGAAATGTAAGTAAAGTATCATTGTAGTTAGCGCAAGTATTGTAACGTAAGTAGTGTCTTTTTTGTAACTCTGTTATTTTTTTTGTTTTGTTTTGTTTTGCTTTTTTCTTCCTTTTTGTAATTAGATAAATTAAAAACTTGTGAACAAAAGTTATAAAAAAAACTATATTCGAGAGTTACCCATTGGCTGCCTACGTTTTCATGCAAAAGTGTATGTTTCTGTAAAAAGGGGAATTTGATTATCTTCAAAACCCATTCAAACGAAACGTATCCACGACTTAGTCACAGTTTCCATTGGTTTTTATAATGCACCTTATTTTCATAAGCCTAATGAGGATTTCAAAAGGTCCGACCATGCAGCCAGACTGACATGACTTTGTACAGCTTTGTGGGATCTGTTGCTTTTGGATTTGGGAGCTAGAGAACATATGTTGATTGCGTCTACTGTTACCAGGCAATGCAAAATACAAAAGGCTAATTGTTTCGAAATTAATCAATATCCCGAAAACAGTTTCAAAATCCCTCATTTTAAATTTCCGGCCAAAGTTGAGTTTGAAGCCCTGATTTGATATGGAATGAACAACATAAGTTGTCGCTGGTATTTGTGCTCTAGAAGGGACAAACAATTTGACTTAAGAGACAAATGCTTTTGGGGCTTGACGGGAAAACGTCTGGCCAACCTCTAAGGTGACCTCACTTACAGGGTCTAACACGAAGATGATAATTGATAAAAAATGAATCGAAATACCATTTAATAGCAATACCTGCTTTTTCTGATGTTTACATATACCTCAAGTTGTACGTTGATTAACAAAAATGTTTGTTCCTTCAATTACTTTTGATTGATTTTTATTGTATTCGTAGTAAAATTTCATTCATATAAATATTTCTTGATATAATTGTTGATTGGTTTTAACATCTGCTTTCAATTGGATTGTATCAGTGTATGAGCGTGAAATGTTTCTTGACACCAAGGTTACTTGAGACTCAAGCATAACTGGAGACTCGACGGTTACATCTAAATAGGTTGCATTGTAAATTAATCAAAATTTTCTTTAAATGACACCTCTATCAAGCAGTACACTTTTAAAAGAACACAAAAAGTAGTCTGGTTGTTCGATCGTAATAGGGACCTTAAGCAACCACGACGGCGACGGCAACGAGGACGTGGAAAAACAAGAGATCTAATTGGCAGAACAATAGCTCAGCACGTGCATTTTGAAACTTTGTACATTTCTTAGCCGTCCTATGCAAAACAACAACGTGAAATCGCATCCGTTCAGGATAGCACGATCCATCATCTAGAGGGAGTAGCTGCTTATCTGCTGTTTACGGTGAAGGGATATACAAACATCTGTATGCACAACCTCAAACAGAAGATTCAGTTCAGAATATCTGAAAAAATCTACAGTCACATTTTACCAAACAAAATCTCAGCCTCTCTTTGCAGCGTACATGGGGCTTATCATAATGACAGAGTTTCTGGAAAGTTAGAATTATGGATGGAGTGGGGTTTGAAAACGCCTAGTTTATAGGGAGTTGCAAAGTTAATCATCAGAATTACTTTAGTTTGTGTTACCGGCTGTCCTTCCGGGTCGTATCTACCCAAAGATAGGCTTTACCGTAAACTGCATTATATCCAAATGGACCATGTGAAGTAAATCATTTATCGGTAAGAATGTCAAGTGTTCAATGGTGTTGATCTTTGTAGACCCAAAACAATGTCTTTATAAGCACAGGATATACATAAACTGTGTAGATAAAAAACACTTTCTCTGTCAAAGGACTTCTCAATTATCCCGTCATGAGGGTCAGTTGAATATCGGTTCTGTGAAGTAAAGAGACAACTCACATTACCGGCTACCTCTTCCTATCTCTTCTATTTTTTTAATGTCATTAATCAACTCAGAAATCTAAATGGCGGTAAAGAAACTCCAGCAAGGATTATTTCAGATAATCCAATGGTAAATGTTTGACAGAGGTGCAGCTTCCGATATGGAGAAATACCGTAAAATTGTACATCAGATGGGGTTTTTCATGACGCCAATGTGCATTCGATGAGACGTTGACCAACGTTTTCCAGAATCCAAAAATGGTCCGAATTCCCACTCGTTGTGTCAATGAAGCCGCTTCTATAAAATCAATAGAAACGTTGTTTTCAGTAGATCCTCTTAGAGTTCGAAAGTCGATGGCCGTCGTCAATCAAACGAAGCCCAGAATCGTCTATGGAAATATCGGGAAGGGAGCATAATCCTGCTGTTCTTGTTACAAATATAATGCGGTGGAGTAGGAGGTTGGGGTCACGGAGGCTCGAGATTTCATCCCAAAACTAACATTCGGAGGGTAAAGGCTCCCAAGTTTAGTTACAAAAAATACTGCCGACCCATTTAATTTTTTTTGTGTAAAATGTATTTTATCGAGTCTTATTTTCCACAAAACATTTCATCAGGATAGTGTCAAGCGAGATGTTATGTTGTAATACTTACTTATACTTTTGCGTGCCTAAAATCGATTGTGGACACACAGGAAACTCTGAAGATAGAACTGAAATAGGTTTTCTTAAAATATGCTCAGGAATGAAGCAAAAGACACGGGGAAATTTGAGAACAGGAAATTGCTAGGTTTGGCGTCCGACACCAATCCCCCAATCCCACTCCCCACATTTGAAAAAAATATATATTTCTCTTCCTCTATAATACATGTCGAGAGTTGCGAATTAAAGGCATGGCACGAAAGCTTCAGCCCTCATTCAGACCCAGGATTACGGGGTCAGGCATGTGACCAGTGAATTGTTAAGTAAGCTCTTATCACCAAGTGATAAGTTTGAATTTTGCTTTGGCAGGAGTCAGTTCGTCCAGCCTTTTGTCGGCACTTTGCCTCGGTCGCTTAACTGCAAAGGAACGACGTCCTCAAATAATCATGAAGAGAACTTTTGTTTTTCTTGCCGCTGTGATACTGCTATCAGGTAGGAAATACGACAATTTCCTTTAAAATGCTATTCACTAACACCGAGTCAGATCTTAAAGGATCCAAGCATAAGATTTCTGCGCCAATAAACTGTTACTGTGCATTGTATGAAACCGATATAGGAGAAGAGAGCCTTGGAAAAATTTCTGATGTAGCAGCGAAAATTACGTTAAAGTTTGCTTTTCGACCCGGAAAGATCTTACCCTTAAGCGAGCATCAATAACAGTATTAGCGCGATTAAAAGAAAGATACACAGTACTTATCCCCTTCAGTTGTTTGAGAAGTCGCTTAAGATGCAAAAAGACGTTTTGCGTCAATAAGACATATGAGCCTTTTTGTCTTTTTTTTTAATTTTACAATCTCATTGCTTTTTGGGCCCCAGGCCAAGAGAAACATGGCAGTCAACTTTAGATCTTAAGCATACAGTATGCTATGTTTATGTTTATATTTAAGCGCTTTGCTATCTGTTTGGAAGCTAGGGAATTTGACAAGAAAGTGATATCTCAGACTGATAAGTGAAAAGGTCAGCTTTAGAAGTCATAGAATTTGGGCGTTTAAATGATATGTATCCTTTTGCAATATTATGGAACTGTTTGTCATTTCAGCTAAATAATTCAAACGTTTCAAAAGTTATTGAGTGAATTAAAAAGACAGGTGTCTATTTTGATCCAAGCGGCATCTGCAATTTCTTTAGAGCAATTTATGGGTCAAATCGAAAAATAATCCTCATCATACCTTACCTTGCGGCTTCCATTCCTTCGTTTTCAAACAATTCACGGTTTGCGGTTCATTTTGATCAGAATGTCACCATATCCTGTTGGAACACTAACGACGGCTTTTACGGAGTAATCAAGTATTATGATAGCCAAAACAGGGTCTTTTCAGGAAAAAGATACCAACATTATAAATCTTTGCGCGCATAAGGAATGTTGGCAGTCTTATGCAATTCTGTTTTGAAGCGAAAGCCTTTTTTTCGAGAAAAAACATAGAAGGATTATTTCAGCACTTTTGAGCCTTGAAAGAAGTAAAGAACTGCGCCCACTTTTTTATTGTTATCACCAGAAATGTGGTGTGAAGTATTTTCTTTCCTTTTTTTTTTTTTCTTTTTGCCTGCTCTTTTCCTGAAAGAATTTGAATAAATTGGATAACATCACTACGTGACTGAACGCATGATATAATTCTTTCAGTTATGATTAGGCTAAATTAAGAAAGTCTTTCAAATATAACTTAAAGAAGATAGACATATAATCATAAAATACTCTAAGGATTACGCTTCGGCTATAAATTGAAGGGAAAGAGTTAATTCATCAGCAGTTTCCTCGCTGAAGTATTGAAAAATTGTGTTTGTAACCAATACTACATCTAGTTTAACAATGGAAGGTTAAGATGCTAAAGACTGGACTGAGTTGAGGAGATCCAGAAACAATTTCAGCCCCTTTGATTTCTATATTTGGGTTGCAATGCCAGACAAGACTTATGGGTCGGTCGCACTGGGCAGATTTTTTGTTTACTCTGTAAAAAAAAAAACTATCAACGCGGAAAAAGGCATGAAATTTAAGTCACGTTTTTTACCTTTGAAAATTTAGCTTCACGTTTTTCTTTGTTAATCGTCTTTTTCGTCGGTATTAATCTTTTCATTTCTGCACAGTCGTACTTAGGATAAATTTTATCACTTGGTACTTATCTTTTCAGAAAAACTATGATCTCGCGGTTTGTCTGTTATTAAAGGCAATTTTCTCAGTCGCAAAAATGGCGCAAAATGGCATTTCCCAGATCCTTCAACCCCTCAATAGGAATTCTTTTTATTCTCTTCCCTACATTCCTGCAATTCACAATTTGAGAACTAGGAGCTAAATCCGTAGGGCAATCAATCTTACCCTCATCGCTTGTCTGCTTGAAAGATCATTAATATTATAAGGAAAAAGATAATATTCTAATATTCTGGGATTTTTTTTCGAGCCAGAAAAATTCCCATAGATATATTACATATTTCATCTCTTAGCTGCAGATATTGAAGCGAAGAAAAGGAAATCAAAAGGAAGAGAGAGAGCGTGCAATCGATCGTGCCAAGGCTACCGAATGAAAAAATCTTTGTGTGGAAGCGACGGCCAAACGTATAAGAACTTTTGCCTGTTCAACAAGGCAAGATGTAAAGCCGATAAAACCGGCGTCAGTCTGACAATAGAGCATACTGGACCCTGTCTCTGCTCTCAAGTACTGCCAAAATGCGATCAGGATGGTAACACCACGAAACAAGCCGTGTGCGGAAGCGACAATACCACCTATGCATCATTATGTTCCTTTCGTGTCGCTCGTTGCGAGGCGAAGCAAAACAAAACCAGGTTGAAAGTGCTGCACGCGGGAGAGTGTAGAAAACCGAAGAAAGCAAGAGTATGCCCGGATTTGAGTCAGTGTTACATTAAAGAACTACCCGTCTGTGGCAGCGACAAAAAGACTTACAGAAATCCTTGCTTCTTTCGGGTCGCCAAGTGTATTGCGAAACGGCAGAACCAGAAGTTGTCCATCAAGAGGAGAGGTGAGGATGCATGGTTTTTTTTCACAGAACTAAGAGCAACAAATATAAAAAATTTAAAGGAAAATTTCAAGGCCTAAATTGTGACTATATGAAAAGGTCAAACTTCTTTAAGAGGTTAAACATCAGTTGAAACATTCTCCACTTGATTTATGTCTCCGTCGTCGGTGCTTTGAGCTGTACCTAAAAAGTGAAGCCGTTAAAAGCATGTTTTAAATTTCCTCAAAGGCAAACATGATCTGGAATTCTTATTAGGCATTCTTGTACGTTTGTTTACAACTCATTAAAGGCGGTATTCATGGATGAACACAAGTCAAAGCTAGACGTTTTGAATTTCAGAAACCAAACACTAATTCCTTCAAAAAATGCGCGTTCCAAATGGGATCATTTATATTGAAATCTTGTTTACTCCTTGCGGGAGAGATGTTTATACTTCACATACGAAGATTTACGGACGGAAGAGGGATGAGATAAGTTTTCATTTTCAAGCTGGTCTGAGTAGCTGATGGCCAATCAAATGGTGCTTATTACATATGTCGTGTGCGAGGAAAACGATACGATACTTTCCATATTAATTACTTGTCTTGCGAACGATAGCACGACGTTCACTGGCAGCAAATGATAGTGTTTTCTGACAATTTTCTAAAATTTTAAAATGTGTTTTTTTCCATTTGTTAACGGTGAAGATAGACCTTGTTATGCTCTCGTTAATTTTCACCAGAAATTTCACCCTTTTTGCCGCGATCGATCGTTTTATTTCTGATTATCCTCTAACTCGCGCGTAAATATCATGCTGGCGGCTTTCTTATAAAATATTCTACAATAATGTCTTAGCTTCTTAAAAATGCTCTTTGGGATATGTAAAACCAAATGAATCTCGATCCTCTGATAACTGTTTTCTTGTTTTCATTGCTTTTTGTTTTTTTCCTTTGACGTAATGAAATGCAAGCAACATTTATATTTGCAAGGTTCTATATACACAATGCCTTTTCTGGCATTATACACCCGTTAACTTAAAGTCACGACAACAATCCTTTTCAAAAATACAATAGAAATCTCAGTAATTTTCCCGAAAATTAACAAAAGGGAAAAGATATATATTTATATATGAACACATTTTTTGCTGAACTTATATTAGAATTTATCTAAGAAAGACTACGGTTTTAATCTTTTCTTTTTTAACCTCTTTGACCCACAATAACTTACGGAAATCCTTGCAGACTGATACACCTCCCCTGCTGTTTTGGCTCACCTTAGTTTCCTATCATTCATCAGTTGTGAAAATGCACATTGTGTGATTTTTAAAATGCGCATTGAATTAGAATTAGTTCTTTCAATTTTTCTCGCCGCAAATGCGATACATTCATGGCAGAATTGAACTTTGTTCGTTTAAATCCCCCACGGCTCGTAGATAACAATCTTTGGTCAATCACGCTTAAGTTATCATTTATAGACCCATTATTCAACTATAACGTAAGGTGCTTACAAAAGAATTGTTCCAGAGCCTTTGAAGCTTCTTAGACATTACGATTGTTGTTAATTAACTGCCAATTACGTATTGGAATTAACTTTGAAATGCTCCTATCTGTATTTAGTTCGTGCAACAATATCGAAATGCAAAAAAAGAGAGCAAAATCCATTTTTGGCGGACACGTGTGAAGGGTCACTCAAAAGAGAACCGATGCCACCTGTTTAGACTTGATACTGAGAGGTTATTGAGAGAAACTTAGTTAAGGAGAAATCTAGCCAACAGTGCAGGCAACTTATAAGGGTTAGTTAACACTAAGATTTGCGCAATCGTTTATTCAAACGGTCATGTTTAATTTGGAGTTAGATTCGAAGGTAGGGAGGCGGGAAGAGGCAAAAATATTCACTCCCCCACGCTAACTCCCTCAATTTTTCACTGTGGCTCGCCCCCTTGTAAAAATTTCTTTCTCTCCCAGCCTTCCTCTTCCATAAACATCGAAGATGACGGCCATAGTTCTCTTTAAGAAAATACTCAGCACTCGCTCGCCAAAATTACGTTTGCTTTGCAGGCTAAGATAAATCAATGCGTGCCCCTGGGGAATATTTCTTTCTCAAAATTACCATTTTTTTTCAGTTCCTTTTATTCATGGTTGAGTTTTGTAACGGAGTTATATCAAGTAATTTTGGCAGAACTTATCAGCAATGGGACTGACATTTTCTTGTTGTTGTTGTCATCAAAGTGGCCTATTCCCTTTCCATGTCATCAACATAACATTTCTCGTTTTTTCAAAGGAAACGAGAACCAAATGAAGAGGTTGATTTACCTTGTCTGACCAGGGCGTGATTTGAGTAAAAGATCTTACACTCAATATTTGCTTTTAAGAATTACATGATGTAAACTCTGAAGCGTTCATCGGCTTTAAGGAGATGTTCTGATAGTTCAGGGAATTCGCTTGATGTGGGTCTTCGTTCATTAATGCGAGTTGTAATCTAACATTTCTTTCAGGGGCGTGTGGCAAACGAAAACCTTCCAAATCGTGTCCAAAAAAATGTCCAACCAAATATCGACCTGTGTGTGGCTCAAACAATAAGACGTACGAAAACAGCTGCCTTCTATCCATTGCAAAGTGCGCACTGCCGAGGAAAGACAGGAGCTCCCTCCAGTTGCAATATAATGGACCCTGCAGTTCGCCGACCACCCCAAAGCCTTGCCCCAGATGGTATGACTGCAAAACTGTGAACAAACCCGTGTGTGGGTCGGACAGGAGAACGTATCCTAACTTGTGCGTCTTTCGGGTCGCTAAGTGTCTTGCAAGGAGAAACAAGCAAAAGCCTCTAAAGCTTAAAAACAAAGAGGCGTGCAAGAAACGAAAGAATAAGAAGGAAAAAAGAAAGGAAAAGAAAAGAAAGGGAGGAAAGAAGAATGGTAAAGGCAAGTCTGGTTCCAAAGGAAAAAACAAGGGGGGAGACTAGCGACATTTTGAAAATACCGCGGCTAATTTAAATTGTTACGGAGAATCATTTTCGATCACACCGCTTAATGAATTGAGTCTGTTGTGGATCTCCTAAGATTACGGCCGAGCATTAAAAACGCGTATGTTGAAATTGAAGCCAGGTGCGAGGCTTCCCTTGTATAAATGCAATAGATAAACAGGATTTATCATTCCTTGTCGATGGCCTCGCACTTACCCTCTTTTTAAAGCAGATTAGGGCATTTCGGGATTTGCCTATTGCTTCAGCAGAAAACGTGCGTAATGTTTACCATATGTTTAAATAACTTTTCCTTTTAAGAAAAAAAATATGTAGATCTGCTGTTGGGCACACGGAACATTGTTTAAAGTAAATGTTTCCCATTGATTCTTTGGAGTAAAGAAAAGTACTGAAAAAGGAAAATTATCATAAACGATGCATCGATCCTGTAATAGGTCACTAAGCGTTTATCTGAATATTCTGAATATCAGATATTTTTTAATTGATTCGTAGGCTGCATCCTTTCTTTGTAATTTCAGCACATTCTTGATGAAAGGGGTTAGTGCTCCATGCAAGTATTAAAAAAAACTGAGTCGGCAGGAAAAGCAATGATTGATGTTAACCGTTTTTTTCTCCTTTTTTTTTCCCACGAGTACTTTGATAACTTCTAAGTGTTTGCTCTGTATCAAATTGGTCATAAAGCTGCTGATACATGGCCTTCATTTGCTTAACAGTTATTGCATAGTAATAAATAATAATTTTCCATTTGCTAGAACTACCCATTGATTTATTGATTCTATTGGTATCACTGAGAGACCATTCTTCGGGACTCTATTAAATGACAGTTCACAATCATTTTACGAACCTTCTCCCTAACCTTCTTGGTTTGTATTCAGTGCGAGGCTGAATCTAAAGTAATCACCCTGCGACTATGCTCACTTACTCTGACCGGTCAAATTAGCGGGAAATACTCTACTGTCCAAATCAAAAGCTGTTTTTGAGAACAAAACATGGGATGCCTGTAGAGGACCACGTTAAAAATTCATAGTATCGTCGTAATCAGGTATGGAATCTAGCCACTTGCTTGTCACGAAGTTGGTAACTATCACGTCGGACGTTTGACTTGCATGATGTCTTTATTTTCGCGCGAAAGGTAATCGGAAAAGTTCACGTGGACTTTCCAACACAAGCATCACTTCCCTTCTTCGAATTAATGCGTTCTCAGAATTAATTTTGCAGAAGAAAGTACTCAAGTGATCTTTGCCTGCTCTTATATTTAGCACCCCAAGCCTCCCATGAAACCGACTTTCTCTGAGCGCGATAGAACACTACGTAAACGTCTTGCGTAAACGACCCCAGTCATCTTATTTATCGCTGATTGTTCTTAATGAGGTATGAGGATGGCAAATTTTTACCGAAGCTCTCTGAGGGAAAGAAAAGCTAAGTCATGCCTATTTGTGAATTGATCCCATGTAGAAATTTCAATCAAAATAATCGACGAAGGCGCCCAATTTTCACGCCATGGGGAAATTTCCAGCACTACATGGAAGCTATATGGAATATTTCAAGTTCTGAGAGGAAAAGTAAAAGTTAGTAAAGATGAAGACTGACGATAAAGGAAAATTGAGCTGATTTCATTTATTACACTCATTAATGAAACTTCATTACAATCCTAACAAAGAAACGGAGGCGAAGGGGCCCTTAACCTTTTCACTCCCGAGCTCTCATTGGTAATTCTCCTTACTTTCTGAAAGACAATTCTAATAATGTCAGTTTGGAGAATTTGGTGTTGGATCAACTAATAATCCTTTAATAGATATTTTTCTTTAAACCCGATACTTTTCTGCTTGATATTGTATCAAGATTGCAAGGAGAAATTCTGTCTTGGTCACTCATGGGAGTTCAAGGAATTATTAGGCGGTTTCAATGAATACATGAAGCTAAACTTGAAACAAAAAAGGAACCCTTACCGGCATGAAATGTTAAATCGAATCTGAGTTTTTTTCGATGCATAAAAAGACTAACCTTTTTTCCGATCATATTTTGATCTTTTTATTATTATTATTATTATTATTATTATTATTACTCGGGTAGTAGCTAAAATTTGAAATGAAAGAACCCTCAATTTTGACCAAGTTCAAGCAATACTTATCTTACTCTATCTTTATTGTTATTGTTCTTATTATTGTTATCATTATTTTTATAACTATTGTCATTACTTTTATAAACTGTGGCTATAAAAAAATCATATATTTTATCATATATGATGGGGCTTTTGAAATGTCTGAATTGTAAAACTCGTACGTGTTGGTTACTAGGTTTTCTGGCCCTAACGAACAAAGACTTTCCATGAGTTCCCAGAGGAAACTCCGACATTGTAATCATCACATTCCCACCTACCGCCATTTGGAGACAGCAGAAAGTGATATGTCCCCCCCCCCACAAAAGCAGGGTGATTACAGAGCCTTGCTGTATTACCCAAGCCCAAATGACTCCATTTTCCTACAAAATAGGCATTGTCATATCCCCATCTGCTGCACTGTCCAGCTAAATAAGAATTATCATCAGCCATTTTCACATACGAGCCACAGGAGAGAGGCATTGTATTGGTTTGATAACTGAAAAACTGGACAACTGCTTCACCAGCGCTGTTCGCTGTCGTCATGACGTGGAAAGTTCTCTGCTTTTAGCAGTAGAACCTCAACTGAGTGAAAGACAAATGCTGTCTCAGTTGCTGCATGGCATTATTTGAGAGGAACATCTGAGATTTACTGATTCCACGGTATGATGACTCTACCGAGAATGGAAAGCGCTGGTTTGAACTGTCAACCACCACTTCAGACACAAGAAGCCATCCTCCTGAAATCGGATAAAACTCTGAGTTACAAACCAACATAATAGAAACTATATATCGAATGAGTAAATAAAAAAAAAAAACAAACAAATATTTTAAAAATAGACGAATAACCGAATAAATCCATAATTTAATTTGGAGGTTTTCTTCCTTACTGTGATCTCCATCAGATTATTGGTAAATTAGAGGCACGTAACTAAGCTGTTTCACTGTATTTTTCTTATATTTCAACATCGTACGAAACATAGAACTAAGAACTTGTTACCATGATTTTCTGACGTCACCCTTGTTGTTATATCTGTTTAGGTTTCGGGGTATGGTCTCTAATTACTCTATTATAATTTTTCCTTTGTTGGACCCCATCATCACTATACGCTATAATAGTAGAATAGGGGAAACTGTGAAGAGAAGTATAATAAGCTAAGCTAGTTCGACACGTTTGTGTCAGGTAATTCCGCCCTGAGAGTAACTCAAATATTAGTACCATGAGTTCTCAATCACTTATCACAAACTCGTCACTAGAGCAATAGCATACCTCCGTCTGTTGTCATATCGCAAAAAACCTTTAAGGGGTTGCCATTTTTCTCAGGGTCGATCCAGTATCTTCCATTTTTTCTAGAAAGTCCTAAGTCACGCATTTCCTTGCAGGAATGAGCAGGATTACTGGAGTACAAGCCAAGGGTTGATGCTAAACAAATGAGCAAGCAAAAGAAAATAAAATGATTTAGGCTGATTAGAAATGTACATATCGAATGACGTCACTTCCTGAGAAGTGCTAGTTACCTTGGCATGCATCGCTTTTGTAAAACTCACTTGTCAACTACTACCATTCGAAGGATCTCCTCCTCCTCCTCTTATGGTTTCACATCGTTTTTAGGTCCGAAGCCTAGCTTTTTGGTTAGTTACGTTGAATGGTAACAATATGGACCAATGGTAACAATATGGACCAATGGTAGCGTCATTGCAGCAAAGTTAGAACCTGGAAAGCAATTGCAAATAGTTTGCGAAGGGCTGATAGGTTAATAGGTTTTCGCGTTTGCCTTTTATGTATCGTACTTACAGCAATCAAAGCCATCTCCTTGGTATGGGTTATCGCAAAGACATGTGTATGAGCCCTCGGTGTTATTGCAGCTTGCTTTACGGTTGCATGCGTCCAGGTTTGTATTGCATTCATCTAGGTCTGAAGATTAAAATATATCAGCTGACTTATGCAATATAAACAATCAAATAAAGACACATTCTAAAAAAACTTTTTTTAAGAGAGATATAATATCTGTATTCTGAATCTATGAAGTACGGTAAGAAAGGTAACGTCTACCCAGATTCAGGGTAAGGCAGAACTGATTTGGAGCAGACTAATCATAGAGGACGATGGTAGGCAAAGAAAGAGTGGAAAAAGAAATGGAAGTAAAGCAAAAGCAGCGTTTGGCGAAGAAACGCGATGAAAGGCAAAGAAAGCCAAGGAAGGGAGAGCTCAAGTAGATCGACGAAACGGGAGAAAAGAGATTAAAAGGCGAAGAAAGATTAGTCTATTTGTCTATTTTTTCACCTTCTTTTCATCTCACGACTTTTATCATGCGTCTATCCTTTCCAGACAAATCTTGATTGAAGACGTAATATCTCACCTTTCTTACAAGTGTACTTATGACAGTCGCTGCACTTTACGTCGTTCCATTCGTAGCGATATTTTATGCCAAGAGCGTGTACACAATCCTCTTCTTTAAAATTATTTGGCTGATTGTTAGCCCAAGCTGTAAAATTCCCTCTTCCTCGATCCACCCACGTAAAATTACACTCAGATGATCTGTCATTGAGGCCAAGCCACGATTTTTCTCCATTATGGCGATGCTGTATGAAAACGTTTTCTTCGCTGCTTTCAACATCAGCAATAGCTGAATTTTCATTTCGACAATTTCTCAAGGCTGTAGTCCAGTTTGCACAGGTTTTACTTGTAAAATAGCAGTGACCATTGAAATAGCTCCACCCAGGTTCACATATGTCTGTGTGAGTGGTAAAAGCTATTTTGTTAATACAGAGAAGATTTCTGCCATGCAGTAAACTCAGAGCGCGATCGAGTTCCAGCTTCTACAAAAATACATCGCCCTCTTCTTGACCTGCTATACCAAGGTAAAATCACATTTCAACGTAGCATCATAGCACAATGCCCGGGACATGACAATGAAGATAATGGAAGAAAAAAAAAATTGAAACATGGAACTCTCGATCTAACGATCTCCAGCGTAAACATCCGTCTAAGCGCGACTCAGAAACCCTTGATCATAACACACTTCTGTATGAAATAGGACGTTTCGGCGACCTCATGACGCCATTATGAAGGAATGAAAGACATCTTAAATTGCAAGAATTAAGCTCAAAAGGTTTTGTTGATATTCTTCTGAGGAATCGATTAAATGTTTGAACTAACAAAAACTGATTTCTCTTTCGTACTAAAACGAAGTTTCACAAAGGCTTAAACAGCAATTAAAATGCTCTATCATTTTTATGACATAATAATTATGACAATTCCAACTTACTCGTCAAGACTACATAGCTTAATGATACGGGTTCGTATCTGGTTTCATACAATTCTTTAAGGCAGGCTCTGAATCCCGTAGAATTCATGTTCTGGAAATAAACATTTCTTTCATTTCCAATCAATAAATGAAGAGTAATTGTAGATAAGCATGTTTCATTGGTGAGAATATTGCGGAAATTCAGAAAGAAAAACTGAAGCTAACCTCAATCCATGCTGTAATCCCATTGTGAACTGGGGCTGAATTTCCATTGTCTGTGCGGTGATTGGCTGTCACTAGGACTGATGGTGTGCTGTTGTAACTTTTGGCGAACAGTACGAACTGTTTTTGCAATAAGATCGAATACTACTTCATGAAGAAAATTTTTCTTTATCCTACTTCTACACTATATCATTACAAGCTGTTTACCTGACAGTAGGCATTGTTATTTTCATCTAATGGAGGATTTGTGTTTGGAAATTTGACGAAACCACGTTCTTTGAAGAATGGCTTGTGAAGGTCGGTAAATGCCATCCAATTCTGCAATACAATGTTATAGTTATGCAATACTGACGTTAACTGTTATGAAACATGCATGTGTGTTTGGCGCCCCTCTTTTGTCAGTCGCCTATGAGTTGGTTCATACAGTGGATTTTTGTTTATCACAAGCAAACCATCGAAAACAACCCTCGTTTCTCCATAAGTGAACTAGCGTTGAAGAAATTCTTTTAGCGAAAGGATCTTTCTGGAGTTAAATAGGTTCCACTGGGAAATTCAGTGCTACTGACAGCACCTGTTCGACTTGCGCTTCGAGGGAAAGAAGGAAGGAGGAAGAAGGTGGTAAAATAATGAAAAGATGGGAAAATGCGGAGAAAGAAAATTCAATACAACATGAGCTAGAAAGGCGTCATACGGGAAGAGGAATGAAAAGTACCCACCACATTGATGTCCTCGTGCTTTCCGTCAAAGTTCTGCATTTCGCGTAGACAAACTTTAAAAGAGTCCTTGGTCGCATCCTCCGTCCAGATCAGAGCTGCATCATATTCTATACCTGTCCTCAGATGTTCAGCTGTTACAAGAACTACTGGTGTCGACTTAAACTTGTCCTGAGGTTACCAAAGAAAAACGATACATGTAAATGGCACATACCTACCTTTTAAGAAATGACAGACTAGCAGTGAAGTGTAATCGTTTGTTTGACGACAAAAGCTTTGACTGCTGTTAACTGGCCTCCGTCAGACAAAGCTTGGAATAACGGTAACCAAGCGACAGGACAATGTAGGAAGAGGAAATGAAGTTTTTTTTTCTGTGTTGAAATTCGCATCTCAAACAAGCAAACGAAGGAAAATTCGGCATGGTCAAAAAATGTAAATGAAAAAAACTAAATAACTAACAAGTGAAAAAAGCAAACAATTTAAACATGACCATTTTAGCGCCAAGAGGGTATCTATGATTTGAGATGTATGTGCTTATCGTAATTAGATAAAAATACAATGAAAAAGGGGGGCACAACAGCGAACATTTTCCAGACTAACTTTTGAAAAAGTCACATCTGCGCACTTGGTTCCAGACCACCACTTTTGCATCTTGATAATTCCCGTCATTCCGTTGGGCGGCGCGCCTTGGTATGCCACCCAAACAATTGTTGCAAACGGGTTAAAGTTCCTTGATCTTCTTCCAGACTGCATGGCACAAACTGTAAAGTTATATGTGTTCGTATCTTCAATCCACGACGTAACAGCGTCATGAACTCTTTCTGAGTCATTCAAATTCATGTGAGTGACGGTAATTTGTACTTGAACCAGCTTTTCTGGATAGAAATGGTATGGTGGGAAGACCACTGTTTGACAACTGGAATCCGACCATCTTGGTACTCGAAGTTCCACTTTGTCTCGAACTATTGGGAAGCCTGTATGATATAGATAAAGGCAGATATTTGATTAAGAAATAGGTTTTTTTAAATGTATGAAAGAAATCCACATTCAGGTCTGCAAGCTCCATGATTTGAGGTGGACAACTGACTCGCTTTAAAGAGGGAAGGGAATTGAAATGATTGATGAATGGGTAGACAGATGGGTGCATACATAGATATGTAGAAGGATGGATAGATGGCATGATATGGAGGCCTAGATGGATCAAAAGATGGGTGGAGAGAGGAACAGATGGAATGTAGGATATCAAAAGTTTTCCCTTATTAACTGAGACCTCTAACTTACCTACACAGCTTCCTGGATGGTAAACAGAATTTTGTTCCAGTCCCTTGCAGTAGTTCAACTTATACCAGCAATGGTTGTCATATGTTGTTCCATTTGTGGTGCACACAGGATCTTGATACGAGGGACAGTCTTCGTGACAAACACAACGAGATTCGTGGGCACTAAATGTTTTGCAAATTCCAAATGAAGGACAATTCACTCCAAGGCATGGATCAATATCTGTAAAAATTTAATGATAAAAAAGGCTGCACACCAAACTCCAAACTACACTATTACGTTATTTACTGTTTTAGCAATTTAGCAAATCCAATTGCCGTTTTCTTTTTTCTTTTTACACTTAAAACTGAGAAACAGCAAAAAAAAAAAAAAAAAGATAGGCAAACAAACAGTCAGACGGAAATTAGGGGGAAAAAGCAGCACAGAATTCTTTAAAAGAGCAAGACTAAAGTAGTTAAGAATAATGATTTTTAATTGATCGGGCCAAAACTTGAACGAAAGATTGATGAAATGTTAATTTCAAGGCAACTTTGAAAATAGGGTAAATTGCATTTCGCAACACTTACCTCCAATCACAACATAGTAGACAGACAAAGGGTCATGTTTACTTCCTGTTCCACTTAAATCTTTCACACAAATCGTCATGGATGTGAGGCGAATTTCCTACATGTGGCAAAAAAATTAGAGTGTGTTATCAGTGCTATCGAACCGCGGAGAATCAGCTTCTTGTTCTCAGCTGCGGAACACACTTTTTTTTCAAAACAATAACAAACGACAACACAATAATAAAATTTTTCTTTGCGTTTGCCCCAAGTTCGTTCTAAAGGAAGACACAAATAAATAAATCACAGGGTCCAGTAATACCTCCACCCAAGCTGTGACTATATTGTTTTCCGGTAGAATGAGGTTTTTCTGCTGACGGTTGTAGTAGTGATGAACAGAAACCAGCACAACTGGTGAAGCATAGAAAGTAGTGTTGAACTGCACATCCTAAAAGAGAGAGAAAGTAGTCTTGCTTCTTTAGAATACTTAGGGAATTAAAACAGTCATCACTTTTAGCTTCAAATAGGATGAATAGATAAAACACAGCTTTGAGTTCATTAAGTGACAAATATTATTCAAAATAGGAATGGGTGGACGGACAGCATATCTTCAGCCACCTCACCTGACAGAAACCATAATTGTCCTCAACTTTTGGAGTATTCCTGTTTTCAAACCCAGCTTCCCCCATCAAAGTAAAATTTAGGTCTGAGCCATTTCCATCAAAAGCAAACCAGTCCTTGCGAAAAAAAGTTTCAAAAATAAGAGACACAAAAGATCCATAAATCAGTTTGATATGAAAGCTCTACCACGGTATTAACTTCAATATCATAACCGTTTTCGGAGACAATTAAGCATGGACTCTCGTCACCTGAAGGTGATAATGAATTGCTATGGTAGGTGCCCGAGACTATCATCAATAATTTCTTTGGACTTTTACAAAGAAAGGTGATATAGACAGATTCTTCCGAGTGCTGATAATGTTTCCGAATCAGTTTCGAGTGTCTTTTTCTTTTTTTTTTTCTTAAGTAATCATGTGCTACAAATACCACCAAAATCAGAATATACCAATCACTCCGATCGTTTGGTCAAGGCTCGATCGGGCTTCTTACCTTCCTCTGAATTCTGTAGTGTTTTAAAAAAACAACCACTGAAAAATCATAAAGTAGCACTCAATGGAAACTAGCGGAAACTGGAAGCCCATCACTGATGAAGGCCTTCTTCGGAGAACGGTAAATCAGTTCGCTTACCACAATTGCATTTTGGTGTTGTCCGTCAAAAGGGAGGAACTCCCGTATGCACACTTCGAAACTTCCACGTTTAACGTTCTCCAACCAAACATACATGGCGTCATTGGGTTGTGTATCACGATTGTACTTAGCGGAGACAAATACGTAAGGACCAAGGCCAAAACCCTGCAAGTTTTTCAATATGATCTGAGCGAACGTTCTCGTTACGGATACTCTGTACTACCATAATTAAACTTATGCTACTCAGCGTAGTATTACAGATGGAACTTACATTGTCTTTTGCTGTTATTACCGCCAATGTATCTATGATACTTTCTAAACAATTAGAGTTGAAAGAACGTTGTTCGAGAAGTATTCATGAGAATGTCTCGGGGAATCACACGTGTTGAGAATGTTCTTTCCGTGAAAGGTCTCGTTATCTTCAGATCAATCGTTTTATCTAACTTTCCTTTTTTGAAAACTATAAATATCACAGGAAAGCAGGTGTTTACGGCTATTTTTGGTATAGTTTATGGCAAGCTTCTTTAGCATAACTACTTTTTCTTATTACACGTGCTCTTCTTCGTCGTTATCTAGTGAATTAAAAGCTACAAAAAGTATGTTGACAAACTTGTGAAAAGTCCACTTTGTTACACTTTGTTTCTGTTGTCCAGATTCCGCTGAAAACAAGACTTCCGGGTATCATCCCAGGATTATCTTGGAATGCCACCCAGTTGATGACACCACTTTCATTTCTTGCGGAGCCTGTCTCACGGACACACACGTCAAATCCACGTGTGGTTATAGATCTAACCCACATAGCTGATGGAGAGTGAACACGAGAAAACTCTTCGCCATGGCTCAGTGACACGTGAACTTGCACCTAAAGTTACAAGGTGCGACTAAAAAATCTTAAATTTCCTTGGGAAGTTACGTTATGTTGCTTTTCTATCAATCATGACCTTAAAAGGTTAAATCGAGTCTTGGTTATAAAGCTTCGACTGCAAACTCTGATAGTTTAGATCTTTATGTTTGTACTCCGTTGTCTTTGTTGCTATTGTTGTTTTAAAATACGCGCTTACCTCGAAAAAGAAAGTATGAGAAGAATGTAATTCGAACCTGAGGAAAATGCCACAATTTCCTCTAATCATACCTTCTCGGATCCACTGAACGTCTTAGGAAATGCAACGCTGGTGCAACGAGGCAAACGGCAGTGATAAGAAGGAGTGCAGCCACTGTTACAGCTCCATTGTTCAAATGTTTGCGAGATGTTGAGCTTACCATTCTGAAGATAAGTTTCTGAAAGCACAAAAGGAAACGGTTGCCATTTATGATCCTATTTTTCGGCTACGATCTCTAGATTGTTGCAGGACCCTTGTAGTGTGAAAAGAACGGCGCTCCCGGTAATCGCGTCGAGGCAGTCCTTTTCGAGGCAAAAGTAAAAGAAAGAAAAAACCTTTTTTACATGATGAGGTGCACATAAAGCCCGATATGGGCTCTCAGTCAGTAAACACCAGTGAAAGTATGCTTTACACCTAATTCCTGTGGACACTAAGCGTTCTCAGTCTTTTCGCTTGACCATTTACTCGCAAGTAATACAACTATTTTTCTTCTTAACATGGACTAAATTAAATGTCATCATTTTTGCTGTAACGGCCTAAGTAACACGTAGTTGGCGATCCATCAACTCTAATGAGATCAAAAGAATATTTCTCTTAATAAGATTTTAAAGTGCCTGTTTACATAACACCAGTGCGGTTGAAATGCTTTCTCCTTTTAATCCTCTTTGCCTTTCCAGATTGTTCTCAGCAAAATTTCTTTCTACTAAGGTTAAGCCACTTAACACCGGAACTTTGCATCAGGTGTTACACGCGTCCTGCTCATTGGAAGATACATCGTTTGCAAACAGCACGCATAAAAAAAAAAATAGTCCAAAAACCGTAATTCAAATATGATAACAGTTCACCAGATTTGCTTATGTAACAATTAATAAGCTTAAAATTAAACGATTTCAAGTCTTAAAAGATTCGCCGCCTCAAAGATATAAGAGAGCATATTTAATAAGATTTAAAGACCACGCGACTTCGTAAAATTAAGATCTATAACCTACTTAAGTAGAAACCTAAATAAGTTTGTCATGTTATAAAGAGCAATTTAACAATGACGTTTCGTTAACACGCATGAGAAAATTCTCAGCTTTCAAATATCCACATGTGAAGCTAAATATTTCTTTGTAATCTTGAGAGATAATCCTGAAAAGAGTTCGTAAGTTTTTAAGTCAACAAAATTACAGAATAACCACATGTCAATGGTAAATATGATATGATAACACAGTTAAATGGGAAATAAGCCAAAGGTAACTCGTGAGACACACGCGGACGTGAGCCCTTTAAATCCTCTTTTCAGCCGGTTGAACAGGAGATGATAGATACGACAGACAGTGTATTTATGAACCACTCCCTATGTAAATTTTTTGTTTTTTTTAGAGCTAATGATGTTTTGATCGAAAACTGTCGCTTGAAAAGTAAAGCATTATATTGAACCGGTGAACATAATCAACTGAAATTGTCTGTCTCAGACCGTTTCACATATAACTGTATGGTTTGCTTACGTTTTATAAATAGAATGAGTTTAAATTTTTTAATTGTTTTCAAATTAAAACTCAGTGTAAGATAGTGGCAGATGCAACCGTTAAAAGAATAGATTTTTATCACGAAACAAATAATTTCCACTTTTAGTGTGAAAAAGCTCCAATGCTTTGAAGTTTGAAAAACTTAATTTCTTAGTTAGGGATAAAATTGAAAAGTAACATCAAGTAAAAGGAGAGTTCCAAGGGCATATATTGCTGGGGCGTATCCAGGGGTGGCTCGGGTGGTTCGGGTGGTTCGGTCGAACCCCCTAAATTTTCCCTCAAAATGCTGGAAATCATGTTTCCGAAGACCTAATTTTCAAAATCTCCCAGGTGAACATGGCCTCGGACAATTCTCCGAACCCCCCTTTACTTAATCCTGGATCCGCCCCTGTATTGTTATAGTTCGTAGTGCACACCCGTATCTCGCTTGATATTTGCTTCAGAATTTCCTTTAAGAAAAAAAGAATTGACGATTTCCCATGCTAATAACCAATTCTCTAACCTTTCACTGCAACCACAGCATTTGCGAGGATGACAAACGGTAAAACAATCGGATGAAGATTCATTATGAAGAACGTCTTGTTGACACACGAGATACGCCTACAACTAAATATGTTGCACCCTTCGTTTTCTTTTATATGAACATTATATCTGGCTAATGTACAAAAATTAAAACATATGTTTGTTCCAAACATTGGAGATGATAATCATGTTTACGCTGCATTCCAAGGTCAGGTTAGAATCACTCCGAAGGGATGCACGAAAACCAATTACATAAATTTTGTCACGAATAATGACGACAGCTTATCATCTCTTGTAGGACCTGGCTCGAGAGATCATATCAGGGAATGAAACGCAAATCCAAATCATCTGCGTAGTGTTTCAACTAATTTATCATACCTGAAAGTTTGGAAGCTGCATTTCGTTTGCGATTGGCTTACGATACCTTATCATGTTTGCTTTAATAAGCGTCCCTCGTCAAAATATGGTTGGTTTTGATATCGATGTTGGATTTTTCAAATGGAAGTGATAATATTCTGATAATCATTCGTTCGGGATGGGTTTACCCTTAGTCAGAAGAGAGATTTCTGAGTTTCTGGAAATCGGGTTTATTCCAGTGAGGTGTTTAACCTCGTATTATGATTAACAGGTTGTAGGGGATACTAATAACTTCTTCAATTAACAATGAGAGCTCTCTCTCCAAGAGGGGTTAATTCTTTTCATTAGATTTTCTTCGAAAGTCAAATAATGTCGTAGTTGAAATTAGATATTATGATATAATAAATGTATAAGAGAGGCTGGAAAATGTTATGAAAGATTGTGCGATACTTCACATATTGTGGTTCCATTTATGGTCTCTTGTTTCAAAAAACTCTATTTCCAAAAGCAAATCACGAAAATTTCATTTGTTAGATTGTATATTCGAATTTCAAAATTGGAATATACACTGTACAAAAAAAATGTTCCCTGAAAAACATTTTTGGAAGAAGGACAAATTAAAGATGGATAAGTTCCCGGTGAGTTTTCTCCTGAAACAATTTAATAACAAAACAGTAATAGAAAAAAGCTTACGAAGCTACTTAGTAAATGATTAAGATAACGTAGCCTTCCCGATTTGTAGATGGGTCTTCATCTGCCTTGTTGATTAAATAAGATTTTATCCATTTCTTTACTTTGTTTTTTAAACCTACTTAATTCAGTGAAAAGGGCAAATGATGATGTACTTGAAGACTTCCCTCCTGTTTCCCATGACCTATCCACAATCTATGCAGTAACGGCGTGAAGTCCTGAAGCCCATGCGACAAAGGTTTTGTCTGTGCGTTAGAATAACTTTTTTGAGTTTTGTCATCAGAGACTTGTTTGAGGGATACCCTCTAAAAGCTTTGGAAGGTCTTCGACACTGTACACAATTCGCGTTTGACCTTCGTGGTCTCCAACGATAAACATTGGAGAATCTTGGCCCTCGGTTTCATAACTACTGCATTCTTCGTCATCGTCGACTTCGTTTATTGCGAGGTCAGTATTATCAAATTCTGAAATTGCAATCTGCGGCACTTCCTTCACATGGTCCATATCAGAGTCGGTATCTGCCTCTTCTATGTGCAAAGTCGGAATCGTAAAGTGTTTCGTTGAAACGCAATCAGAAAAAGTTGTTTGGTCTTCGGGTAACGTCTTTTTTTCAGGCTCCTCACATACATTCATAGCTTCCTGCCAAGTGTCTTTTTGTGGATTTTCGTTTTCATTGATGCAAACGTTATTTACAGCTGATGTTGAATTGTGCCCATCTGACGCATACTGGTGACAGTCGTTTTGCTTACGTTGTATCGGTTTCAGTGGTGCGAATTTCTTAATCTGTGGTATCGAGGGCATTGCGCTTTTTCCAAGCCTGCGTAGTTTCTGTTTTCCATGGGGAGATACGTTCTCGATCGCGACACCAGACGTTCTAATGTTTCTATCCGTTTCTTGAATATCACTTCTTTCGCCGGCAGCTTCCCCGGATGGAAGATCGATCAAGTGCAATAATTGTTCAGAAAGTCTTCTTAGACTAGGATCTCTTTTATCCTTGGGACGATCTTCCATCTTTGGTGGAAAGGAACACAGGGAAGCCCTCTTCCTTGGCGCCTCTGATTCGGCCTGCCTGAGTTTCATCAGAGACATGTCCGTAAGCATCTGCAATTGATCCCTCTCACGTTCCGCTTGCTGACGTTTTTGAGTCATAGTCGAGATCATCTCTTCAAGTCGCTCTATTTCAAATTGTGCCTCTTCTAATCTGAATTGGAATTCTTCTTTCTCTTTTTCTGCTTGATCCAACGCCTCTCGAGTATCTCTCATTTCGTTCCTAGCAGTTTCATGATGGATGGCTAACTCATCCCTCTGTTTTACCACTCCATTTAGCTGTGTTTTCAGGCTTTGTATTGTTCTATCACTTGTAGAAATGTACCGCTGATACTTCTCTTCTAGTTGGTTGATGGAGTCTTTTCTTTTTGGTGAAATCAACTCTGGTGCATCGAAATCTTTGCTTACGGATTTCAAGGCTGAAACTAATTCATCCCTCTCGAGCAGGGCATCGTCAAACATTGATCTAAGCTCGTGCATATTTTTTTCACTTTCGTACTTGTAAAGTGTGTACTTTTCTTCAGTAAGGCGTTTCACCTCTTCCGCGATGTAGCGTGCCTGTTCGGCTTCGACTGCACGATCATTTGCCTCGTTTAATCGTACTAGAAAGGTCTTCGTCATTAGTTCCACTTCTTTCAAACACTTTGTTTCTGCCTCTTGGACTTGAGCAAGGATGGAGTCTTTGGCAGCTTCAGCTCTTTTCTGGAGAGCTTTCGCTTTCAACGCTTCCAACTCGGCACTTCTAAGGCGTTGTTTCAATTTTTCCTGATCATAAGATATTGGTATGTCAGTATCGTCCCAATCCATTGCTGCACTGCCATCCACAAATGATTCCACCATAGTATCTTTGTTTTTCTTCACGACCAATTTTGAATTTTCATCTGCAAAATTCTGCACGTTCAGTGGGTCTGTTGGTGAAAAATACAATTAATGAGGCATTAGACAACCCCAAGTCTACATCAACTGCCTATACATAGCAGTTTCATTAACACTTTTCCGCCAGAACCCTAAAGTGTACGTGAGTGACAAGCAGTAAAAGTCAAACGCAGTATGACTGCTCACACAATGTACGAGTACTGAGATACCGACTACCTCCGTTCCACAATTTGTAAGGGAATCAGGGAATCACAATTGTCTCACCTTCCAAAGAATGAGATGAACAACTTGGAGTCGACGATCCGGCCTTCTCTGAAAGTGAGTCACGAAGATTTTGAAAGGTCGGGCGAGCCTTGGGTTCCTAAAAGAGTAGTCAAAGAGGCATTGTTATTATTACTGCTTTCGTTTTGTAATAAGGCGTTGAATGATTTTAAATTGCGATTTGACATGATAACACTATATTAGGTAATGTATAGTACCGTTTAACTGCAGGGAAATAAATCAGTGACTTAGCTGGTCTATTTTCCTACATACTATGTGCTGTTCAACATACCGCTTGCAGGCACATAGCTATCTTTTCGATGAAACTCGAAACGTTGTCCAATACGTCGTCCTTCCGTTTGAGCTTTAACACCTTATGATCAAAGATAAAAAACTGAGGTTAACCATTAACCCTTGAAAGTGATCAGAATATAATTTCTCTTAACAGCATCATCCCTGAATCAAAGAGCAGAGGAAATGATCACGATCACTAGCTTTTTTTTCGCTGGAATTTGTCTTATTTATGATGCTGCACTCATTATTTCTTAGCCTATGCTTGGGTACAACAGATTTTGTGATATTAACGTGTCATGAACAATTCACGTACGGCAATAGTTCAAGACGTGAAATCTATGATGAGGAATTTTGGTAACCTGGCGGCAACTAAGCGAAATTCTCTGTCGACATCAATTGCTACAATTTTTGTAATTTCGTCAAATTGACAGAAAATAGGAATTCTTTTGCAGAGTTGGTCAAATCAAGTTTTTTCAAAAGCACTTTAATTCCTGTTTTGGAGACGTTTCATTCTTACGACGATAAAAGTCTGAAGTCTGAAACCTGAATTCTTGCAAAAAAAAAGTCACGTAGTCAGTTCAAAACTGATGTAAATACTTTCAACGGACCTGCTCTAGATCTGTTATTGGTTCCTGGATCGCTGTAGTAACTGCATAAATAAATAAACCTGCAAAATTACAAGGTCAGTTAATAAGGAACAAAAAAAATCTGCTAAAGTAAAGAAAAAATTGTACGTAACCCTTAAACTGATGTTGCTCAAGCTTGAACTTTGATTTGAAAAATCGTAGTGCAATATGTATGAACTTACCGTAGGCCCAGACATCTGACGGAAACGATCCTGAAGACTCAGAAAGTTCAGGAGCTGGAATCGGGATCTTGTTCTTGTAAACGTCGTCCGAGAGTGCTCCCTTGCACCAAGGAGATCTATATTTGCCCAAATTCATTTCATCTTAATTTTTTTTAATTATTCATCTTCCTTCTTTTAAATTTTTCGTAATAATTTTTTTATTTTTTCCTAGAACTTCAGTGACTTTTTTAGGGCTTTTTAGTCATACCAACAACTTACAAGAGTATGAATTGGGGTGACTAAATCGAGCCTAGTGAAATGTGAATTTTAGTGACAAAAGTTTTTTGTTTTTATTGGTGCTTTTTGTTTGTTTGTTTGTTTGTTTATTTGTATTTTTTCGTTTTCCTCATTGCTTGTTTGGTTGGTCATTTCTTTTTTTCTTGTTTATATTTCACTCTGCCTTTGCAAATAGTGACTCACCTCGCACAATGAAAGCCCGATATTTTTATCATTCCTTTATCGCCTACAAGACAGTTCTTGGGAATCTAAACCAGCACGACGAAAGTAAGCAAAGAAACGATCAAAAGCATCAAAAGAAAATAATAACTTGAGAAAGATTTTTTTGTTCGCTTTATTGTATGAATTGTGTTCATTTCTTCTTGCCTATTTTTTTTTTTTTTTGCGTTTTCAAGAAGGAATACGAATCTCATTGATTTGCACCAGATAGACTTTTGTTCATCCTCGGAGACCCAGGGGCTGTGGGTCGATTTCAAGTTAGGGTATGAAGAGTCCCTGGGGACATTGTCTTACAAGACTAGTTCCAAACGGTCGCCGTCGTTCTGCCATCTGATTGGTGCCAGAAAATCTTTGTGTTTTTCTGCCCAATCAGAGTGAAGTGTACTTTAGAGTCCTTTCGTGTGTTTTWACACGGACATATACTWGTAGCTCAGTTGCTCGCTATGTTTGTTTGGACCGTGCGACGGAGATTTGCTTGAGGTGAAAAGTTTCAGTCTCAGCACACAATGTAAGAGAAATCGATCAGATTGTCCGCGAAAATCTTACCGGAAATTATACGGAATACTTTCGCAGGTATCACTAGAGAACGTGTTTTAAAGTTTGCGAGGTTTGTATACAACACGATGGTTGCAGTCATTGGCCGTTTTCACGGATTATCCATCTGCTCCATTTTCCGTCTTGGGCTGAATTCGAGACAGAACAACTGTTGAATATCTTCCGTCTTGTATTCACATAAGACGGATAGAACACGGGTATTTTCTTAGGCGCGGTTACAATTCCACAATATGGCAGCGTGTTTATCCTCCTCCATTCCTTTTTAACCACTTGTACTTTGCTCTAAGTTGTGCCACAGTAAACTGGTAGTTCTCGTCTTTCTCTTTACCTTCTTTCGCCAATACATCATCAAACTCCTCCAGTATCTTAATAAAAATACGTTCGTTTGCAGTCTTCTTCAGGGCTAAAGTTTTTAGAATAAATGCCCAGGGTTTGTCTCTCTCTTCCAAAGGAGACAAAACGGTGGGAAAAAGGAAGACTTCATTCTCCTTCCACATGTTCTCTTTTAGTTTCTTTCCTGCTTTCCTTTTCGCCACTTTAGACGCCATGTTTTCCTTCCCAGAACTCAGTGCGATCTTTCTAGTTCCAAGCTTTTCAGGGCAAAATGAGATAACTTTATCCGTCCTAATGTGAATTCAAGACGAATTATCCATCTTTGACGGAAATTCGTCTTAAAATCCGTCTATATAGACGGATAATCGGACGGATAATATTAGACGGATTATTCGTCCAAAATAAACACCGTCCCGTTTTCACACTAAGACGGATAATCCGTGTGAGACAGATAATCCGTCTGAGACGGATTATCCGTCTCTAGTGTGAAAACGGCCATTGATATGTCGCTTTAAACGTTAAACGAGATTTGAGCTTAAATCTCTCTAGATTTTTTGCATAATTTGCTGAAACAGAAGTTATTTCGTCGCAGGGGCCACGCAGGTATGTCGAGCAACTGGCGCTTTCGCCTAAGTAGCTTTCTGCTTTCTGTGCGCCAAAATCTAATCTTCGCTTTGTTGTAAAGTCGTTCACAATACGGCTTAAGTTCGTGGACGACCTCCAGCAAGCGCTTAGAGAAAGCTTAGCTGTGTTTCCGGTTAGCTAATTAAAATCTGAAAAAAACTTATTAACGAGAACATCGTGGGAAGGAGAGGTTTTTTCGGGCAGTTACCGAAGGGGTTTGGAAAGAGTTTAATCTTTCAACTGCCGCCTAGAGTGTTGAAATTCTTCAGCTAAGAAGGCCACGGATTCTCTTCTAGTCCCTTGGTCATTGTCATTTCACCTCTTCTGTCGATTTTTGAAGACCAAGTTAACTACCTTAGATCATTGGGAATCGATCCGATGCTACTTTCAATGGGAAAAACTAAACAAAAGACCAAGAAATAATGGATGGAAGGGCAGGTTTGCTTTATTCCAAATGTCAGCTTAATAGTACAGGGTCATCTAACCACATCTAATAAGCAAAGTTTCCACGCTTTGCTTTTCTTTTTTTTCAAGCGAAGATGAGATTAGATTTTGGCACGCACAGAAATTTACGCAAGTACTAGTTGCTCGACATACCTACGTGGCCCGTGCGACGAAATAACTTCACGGGATTGGCAAAGTTTCAGTCACAGCAAATTATGCAAAAAATCTAGAAAGATTTAAGCTCAAATCTCGTTTAACGTTTAAAGCGACATATCAATGACTGCAACCATCGTGTTGTATACAAACCTCGCAAACTTTAAAACACGTTCTCTAGTGATACCTGCGAAAGTATTCAGTATAATTTCCGGTAAGATTTTCGCGGACAATCTGATCGATTTCTCTTACATTGTGTGCTGAGACTGAAACTTTTCACCTCAAGCAAATCTCCGTCGCACGGNCCTGGGTCTCCGAGGATGACTTTTGTTAGGAGTACAACTCAGTTATATTATCCGTGTAGTTGAAAGAATGTTTTTGAGAAAATCAGTTAATTACTCAATCATCAAAATTGGTTATGTTTCAGAATCAGGAGGTTAAAGCGGCTTAGTAATACAGCAAGGCTGTTGGTACCGCATAGATACGAGATACCAAAACAAAACAAACCATTTTTAAATCAAGCAACAGACAGCTTAACATAATGCAACTTTCCGGATTGCATCAGTTGGATGTAAAGCACCTTAAAAACTGATGCCTTCAAGTATCTACCACGGTGTTTGTACCTACCAACTCGCCGTGTACTACACTACATTCGTGCAGATAGACCATTCCGTTGATCACTTGATTCATGATGTGCCCTAACTCCGTGGGATAGGATAGCAGCAGAGAAGAATTTCTGGTCAGATAGTCTGAAAGGTCTCCTTCAAATAGTAAAACAAAGTGACAAAAAAGAAAAGGATTTAAGAAGAAGGCAACTGAATCAACCTCACATGTCAACTCGCACTTGATGTCAGTGAATGGGTTTCTAGTTTAAGCCCGTTATTAGAGACTCCATATAAGCCATATTGATGAACATCTTTCCAAAGAAGTCTTAAAAAAGAAAAGATAAATAAGGATGAAAACAAAAGCAGCTTGAGGTGAAGGAGTTCAAGTTAGGCTACTGTGGTGGGAAATGCCGTCATGATATTCTCTCCAAAATAAAGACATATTGTATCTCACAAGGAAAGGGAAAACTGTGACAGAAATTACAACGAATTAGCATAGCCTGCATATTACCATTAGGCAAATTTCCTTGAACCATAAAACTACGGGGTCCTTTAATACCCACTCCTTCCAGCCTTACTACATTGTCGTGATTAAGGGTCCTGCGAAAGTAACAGAAGAGGTTAGACATTGTTAGTCCAGCAACCAAGCACTCGCCATGCTACTCAGTTATCAGTCAGTCGTTTGCTCAGTCATAAACCTTTTATCTAAGTCTCTCAGCATAAATACTCGAGAGAAGAGTATCCACACAACACTTATTTCTTCTGGATCTTCATGGTGATGAGCAGAGCACTTTAAACCATGCCAACATTCTTCTTCGTACTCACATCATCAGCCTAGACTGGTTACTAAACTTCTCCTTCAATATATCAGAGCTCCCCTCGGGTAAAACATGTATCAAAGCATCCTTGCTGTGGAATTTTCCATAGCTGACATTCTGAAAAAAAATAATGCATTTATTAATCATATAATAAAAATCTCAATCTATTTGGAGTTTGTTCTACCCGTTGAAGGGGGAGACTGACATCTTGGATCATTACCTTACTACCCTGTGGGTACCTCATTCAACTTGCCAAGAGTGGTTTTCAGCCAGTTCAATCGTACTTTTGGGAGGGTGTTTTTATATAATTGTCTACCCAGGCTAGTCAGCCAATAGAAGCAAAGTTATAATCGATGATCCTATGTTTTAGAATTGACTCGAATAGTCTTTCCTCTAGGGATAGTTATTGACTAAAAGTAATGATGCCCAAGTTTGAAGAACAAAAATGTTTTCGTCATCAACACTTTCTATGGGTAAAGACGAGTTAAAGTTAGCAAACGAGCTAGAGGGGGTCCTCCTCCTGCAGAAGTCCATACATATCGGTTTTAGTGGCATGAAACGACTTATGCGCTGTGTCACTAGGCCGATTAACTAGCTGAACATTCTTCCTACCTGTTTGTTTACAGACGGACATTAGCTAGTTAAACATGACGTCTGTTTTTACTAGGAAATTTTAACCCACTATTAACTCGGAAGATTCAAATTACAAATCCGCGCAACTTTAAAAAATGGCTGGATAGGAAGCGCTTTTAATGAGTTCACTAGTACTGATTCTCGCTAAATTTTTGCAAAAGACAAGGAGTTTCGTTCAGAGGATGCGATTAATTTCTGAGCAGATGCGAAGGATGCTACAGAATTGTGTAATCCTGGCAAGTCAACGTGCTTGTGCTTTCGCGTCCGCTGCTCGGGACTGAGGTTGTCGAGGGTGACGCATGTGGCATAGGAACTTGCTATGAAGGAACTGCTGGTTGCTCGTAATGAGGGAATGGATTCTGCATGCCGATGCTGTGAAACAGGTAAGGCCCTGGACGAGGGATCTGAGCTTCCAACGGGTCCGGAGGAATTGTAAAAGGGCGAAAGAATTGGGAAGTGTTTTGCAATTCGTCAGCCATGTTTACAAGCATACAAGGTTTTGTTTCGACACAACCGCGAGGCGAGCGTCTAGAAAATAATTTTGCCAGATTGTTTGGCATGTATCTGTCACTACACGCGATGTGATTGGCTGCAGTATTTCAGTGTCAGGACAAGTTAAACCATCTTGCGAGGTAGTATAACTCTGCGTGAGTTTCCTGTCGTTAAGGCGAGAAAACCCGTTTTTTTTCCTTGTGAAAACAGTTGACATTGTTAACTCGTTAAACACTAGACAAAGTGTTTTCACTGTATTTCCGGACTTTTTTGATTTTATCTGGTTGAAATTGTCCTTGTGAAAACACAAACAAAGTATGGCCTCTATCCACGGAAGGAATGCAGGTCCAAGGTATAGTTTCCCCAAGCATCTTGTTAAGTCTTCCTGAGAGTTTGAATCCAGCCTAATAACATAGTAAAAAAAATCCGCTAAGGGCCCTAATCCTAGGACTTAAAAACTGTCCTCAGCGGGTCCTCTGCATATCTCCTTTCCGACAGAAAAACCTCAATTTACGAACGACGATCTAAACAGGCAAAAAAACTTTCAGAGTTATTCATGCCCTCCAAACTTACCCATGGAAGATCTGAGTCATTTTCTCCTCCATTTTCAATATCTGCCCAGTCAACCCTCCAGATTTCTGAAGTGAAGAAACATTTCACTGGTCACTGAAAGATGCATGCTGCAACCTTGGATGCGAGAGATTGCAGTAGAGGATCAAATACCAGTTTAACCTGACCAAGCAACGATACAAATACGTCTAACAACTTTAAATACGTGCCGGAATATGTCATTGTTATACCACTTGACTGATCTATGCTGTTGTATGAGCTCATATTTCGACCTCAATGTTATTGTTTTTTAAAGATAGCCTCTTTCGTCTTCTTTGGCTCCAAATTGTTCGAGAGCTGCTAAGCTATAACAAAGTCATCATTAGAAAACTCTCGTTCTTTCTTTCTTTCTCGTTTTTCTCTACAAAATACTTATTGCGCCAAAGTACAATTTACCGTCAGCGTTTTTAATGGTTGGATACTTTTCCAGGGTTATTCCAAGAGCTGCAATTAAACAAAATGTATCACTTTAGATGAAATCGTGTACGGATTTTGAGCAATTAAAAAAACATTTTAAGTATCTTTAAAGAAAGTTGGAAATGCAACGAAATAATTTTGAAAGAAATAGATGATAAACTCAAAGATTATTTATGGTAATTTTACGGGGCTGAAAAACCCAGTTGCACACAAAATCTTGTTGTCTACAATAAAGCCCTTGTTTCATACCAGGACATTATATGATGAATCACTCAATTATAAGTCTCATTTTTGGGGTGTGATCTTTGGTTCAATCTATCGATTCGCGGTTATTTTCACATAAATCCAAATCCACTTCATATTAAATATCTCATTGGTACAAAAATATAATGCGTCGGGCACATTCGTTTTTCGTGGGTATTTCAGAGATATTTAGCAGAGCTTTGGGTAAAATTCGTTAGTTATCATTTGATGCTGCGTTTACTAAGTTATTTGTCAAAAGAGGTGGAGGTTATATAATAAACTCAGTTAAAGACCTCCCTCTCTTCATAGCTTACTTGGATGTTGCTTGCACTGATCCAATAGTTGCTGTATACTATCAAACTGCAGGAAATTCGCATAGCACACTGCGTCAGATTCGTCTTTAACACGATATTTCTGGGTTGCCTCATCGAGAAGAACCTCTATGTGCTTCACTGTTCTGTCCATTCTTTCAAAGAATAAATGAAAAGAGTACTATAGTAAAGAAATGAATGAACAAATAAATAAATACAAGAAAACAAAACAAATATTTCATTTTGGAGAGGGGAGGTAAATAGGTTTTGGGGAATTTTTGTTGAGGTTTTTCTTGTAAGACAAACAAATACAAGAGCATTAACACAAATTTGCAGATAAGGTAAGCTTTCAATAGCCATGATTGGGATGAGATTTGTTAGTTTTCCTATCATTTATCAATTCTGCCGTTTTAAAGGTTGTCGCTGCCATAAAATTTAGCGTTTCTAATCAAACGTATGGTGTACTTTACGAAAGGTCACCAACCTGAACGACAGGATGGTTTTAGTCCCCAGTCCATTGCTTCTTAAGATGAAACATCCGGGAACCTAATTGGTAAACAATCATCGATTTCAGAAAAGGAATGATCAGAGACCTACTTACAGAGAGGATTATGATAAAAATTCTGATACTCAGGCATCTTCTGTTTAATACAGATCCATTAACCTTCAATGTGATTCCTTGTTCCGATTCGCCTCTTTAAGATATCCTGGAAAAGGCTTAATCAAAATTTAAATCTTACAAGATGAGGTGTTTCTACCATTATCACTGTTAGTACCTGATCTCTTAGAATGGCCGTTGTAACAGACGTTGGAATTTCGCCAAAAAACCACCTACATTGGTGTACAAATATGGGTTAGCAGATATCATGAATGAATTTTGTTATAAATGACTCATTGGTGACGAGCAATACTCCTAGTTTACTTTTTATCTTCAAATCAGTTCGACTTAATAGGCCTTATGTAATGGAAGAGAAGTGCAACAATAACTTGTCCTGGTGAGCATAACCTTGAAATGATGACTCGTTCGCCAACAAGTATACGGGCGAATTAAGATCAGTCGGTAAGATTAGTACAGGAGTCTTACGATGCACAAACCTCGTTCTCCATTGTCTCTGTCTTTTTTTTTGTTTTTTTCTTTTTGGCTCCTTTCGTTTCTTTAATTTTTTGTGCCTTGTCTGTTTCCTTTTGATAATTTCCATTAAATCTCAATCTGAAAATTGCAGCTTTCATAAAACGCCGAGTCCTTTCATTTTCATTTCTTCTTTTCTTTTCTCGAGATCTAGATTACAGCTTGATGTAGAGATAAGAACCACAGCAGAGAGTGTACATAGACATTTACTTACGGTTCCTCTTCGAGATCCTTTAGTTTCACAAGATGTATTGGAATGTAACCATATCCACTCGTCCTTTTAGGTGGAAAAGTACTCTGTAAATGTTACCATTAGCCGTGTGTTTTTTCGGTTGCATGGAGACAAGTTATACTGATATAATATGTCGATGCTCCTGTTGCAAGCACTATTTCTGATTTCTTGTTATTTTATTTAAGGGAAAAGGGAAAGGAATGGGAAGTGGGAGTGATTTAGAAATTTTTAGAATTTTATGCAACTAGACATAATCAGGATTTTGAAACGTTAGCCAGCTCTAATGTAGCGTATAACGATATAGCTAAACTGTATATAAGTAACGTAATATCTTAATGAAAAGAGCTCTAACTTACGATGTAGTTGAAAAAGCTTTCCATTCCACACTACCAGAAGCACCAGACACCGTCAGGTGATCACCCTACAGCAACAACGATAAAATGATATAGATTGGAAAGTAAGAATAAATTATGACTATCCTGGCCTATGCATGAATAACTCCGTAGTGGATAAATAAATTTATGATTAACAGTTAAGTCTTTAATTCAATCTGTGACGACCTCGCACTAGAATAATATGAAAAAATCCGGATTAGCCTGTGCCGTTCAAAACCAAACGTCTTGCATCATACTTGCTGAACTTTTCTTTTAGCTATCTCGCTCCATTATCCGTGAGTCTTACTGTGCAAATCGAGATTGATATCGCACAATTTCTCATCCATGTTTAAAGAATTCTGACCCTTTGGTTTGTTCGCATTGTCTTCTTACGTTAAAGAGCAGAATCGCAACTGTTTCAAATGACAGGTGATCATTTCTTGTTAGAAGTAGTCCCAGAAGCGCATACAATTTTCGCCTAAGAAAAATTTTCCCATAATAATTGATAGTTATGACTTACCGCATTGAAAGGAAGGCTTCCTGGCATATCTGAGAAATGAGTCTCCAGTGCAACTACTCCGAAGCCATGAAAAGTGATTGCCGGTGATAACTAACGAAACAAAAAATAATAATGATAATAATTGTAGTGGTAATAAGAAAAATTTGATTGTTATAATAACAATCATGATAAAAATATTTGTAATGAAAATATCGATGGTGATCAAAATTTTTATCATTTTTTATTGGTGGTATCATTAGAACCATAAATGAATTCACAGTAATATCTTTGTATCACCTTACGCTTCTTTACGGTTGGAATTCCTAGGAAATAAAGGAGACGAAAATTGTCAAAGGAAGGCATCATTTTAGGTCAAGGTGTTATCATAATCGAATGTGTTTCAATTGGTTATCGAATAACTTGCTAGACTTTGACATGGTATTGAAGAGAGAATGTCTTTGGTATCATGCGTGCGTTTTCCGACAAAGGCAGTTAAGATGAGCCTTCATATACGCAGAACAGAACCTCTCGTCAATAAATCGCAAAGCAACGAACTGATACTAATGACGAAACTGACTGTACACTAAAGCAGGTTGGCCAAACGTTAATTGGGAGAGGCCAGTATGCATGCCTACCTTTGATCAGGTATTTACTTACCATATATGGTACTTGGTTTGCATCCGGGGGAACTTCGAAACGAGGTAGCTTTACAACATGACCATCCCTTGCCGGTAAAGCGACCCGAGTGGTACTGGGTCAGGCTTACTGGATTGTCCAGACAAACTGAAAATTTACCAATTCGGTTCACAGAGTACAGCGAAATTAAATGTATGCACCTCACGCCCCAAACAGGTTCCACCTACTGCTGCTCATAAATCAGTATAAATCAGTCCAGTTTTTTTTTCTCAAGGAAACCAGAAAGGAAGCTCCTGAGATGATATTCCAAAATGGATTGCGGCTCATTGTACCATTAATTCACCGCTTGGAAACAAAATTGCCTTTGTAAATGCGCGACAAATACGAACGTTTTCTTTAGGGCATCATGGAAAGTGTATAAAGCTTGCACACCTGATCGTAATGAACACAGCCACGACTCCAACTCGTCCACGTCATAAGCGGAGAGATAAAGGGTCCGAGTGTTAGAGTTGTCCTTCTTGGTGCGACAGTGATAGGTTACCTGCAATTAAGAGATACTGTTCTTATCTATTCAATTCATCGCCCAACCTCGAATAAGTGCCCGACCAGTCGGTGGGAAAAGTCGGTGAGCGCCGAATCTTGAATAAATAGATAAATGATAACCAAAAAAATTACTAACACGAATAAATGAATAAAATACTCGGCAGTTTCAAGCACCAAGATACTTAAAATGAAATTGCCCTCGTAAAATATGACGACAACGAAGGTCAAGTAGGACATCGCGTACATAAATGTGAACAAGGGCCCTCTTTGCTTTTTCTCTTTGCTTTTTCTCTAAATGTACATGGCATGTATGCAGGAGGCGGTCAAGTTGGGCAAATCACTGTACGTAAAAGAGATTATAACGACTGAGTCAGAACTGTATGTCTTTTTCTCTTAGTAGCTCATTCACTTTGGCTGTGTTTAGTTCTTATCCGCATTTTCGCGATATCATTTTAGCATAACTACAAATACTTATACGGATCGTTTTTCCAGTGACACTAACCTGAAAACAAAGCGCTTGGCTGAATGCATCATCGTCCACTTCTTCGACGGATTGGATGTGGAGCAGCTCGAGAAAAAAATCAGGTTTTTCTCCTTTTGTCTGAGAAGGGAAATGAACAGAAAATTGATAAAAAAAAAAAAATCATGATATTTCATGGGGTACGATTATTTGACCGAATCAATGACTTCGAAGTTCTTTTCATCCAGATCCAGATCTGCTTCAAGTAAGAAATTTCCTTGGTGCAAATTTACTGCACATTTATTTCTGTTGCTTTTTTTTTACTCCAACGCCTGAGTATGATATATAATTTAAAAATTATTAAAAATTCAATGTGCCTGTTTCTATGTGTGCACGTTGGTATTTGAAAAGGTAGCATTATATCAGTTTTGATTCTTGTTGTTGTCAATGTTTTTGAGTCCGAAACTAAAAACAAAGTTTAAAAAGCACCGACACATCGGCCGAGGTTGACCTACGATAAAAATTTCCAAGCGACCGGCATTTCGTATATTTTATGGCCTAATCTGCTAATCAACAAAAGTATTAAGTCTTTCCATAAGGCCACTGCAACTGCATTCACTCACGAAATGTTCTCTCCTCGTGTGATAGTCACCTTTCTCTTATTTAGCTATAATTTGTGATCTTTCTAGTCGAAGGAAATCTTTGATTACAATAATTTTGTTTCACTTAGCTCTGCGTTAAAAAAAATCTTCTCAATCAGTTCCGCGCGGCCCTTACAGAAAGTTTCCTTTGTCTGGCAGTCGTGATTACTATTTTTTCAGTTATAAGATATTTAGTGAAAGCGATTGACCCTTAAACTCTCAGGAGTTGTTAAAATGTCACTTCTCCTTACAATTTCAATAATTTGAAGTTTTCTTGTAATAACGTTATGAGAACAGCAAGCTTTACAACCTTAGTGCATAGGTATTATTTCGGAATAAGTCCAAGTTCTTCTGTCTAATTTACAACGAAACAAACGGCAGTAAGAATAGATGGAGGTTATCAGGACTTAAAAGCTTAAGCGGCGTTATTTATTGCCTCGGTCTTAGTTAAGCTGCAAAAAGGCTAGGGAGAGAGTCTTTTCCGCGGCTTACGCGACATTTTTTCCGTTTGATAAGCTTGTAATCCGGTTATAAAGCTTGTTGTTGACTTTCACCTTTTTACGCATAAAATATCTCTTATGCCACCCACTCTTTATGTTATTGGATAATTACAATAACAATAACGGGAAATTGAATAAACATTTCGCTTCTTTGTGTATGCTTGTACAGAATACAGACAACTTAATTAAACAGTGAAGGTATCTAAAACGAACTGTACTTCTGGAATGTGAACTTGCCCAAAAGCATTGTCTCAAGAAATCATTTTTTTTCTATGTGTATTACTTTTGTTCGAGTTCTTTTTCAGAGATTTTTCATTGAAAATTAACCATAGGAGCGTGCTTCTAACTGACAAGTCTAGCGCATAGTGAAAGAAACTGTCTCTTTGACAACTTAGAAGAAGGCGTTTGGTCATATATTTGAAGTTGTCGTGTAATGATAGCACAATTCAGATCCTAAAAATGTATGAGAATGTAAAGAAACAATTATCAATGTGATTTAATCAATCTGTGACAATCGAAGATCATCTGTAGGGATTTAAATGAGACCTTCATGAAAGTATCAACTGTTTTAGGTTTAGATCGCCTAAATCGCATTTGCTCAATTAGAGTGAGACCTCTCATCAAGTTAGAAATTGGCATTTCAGTTATAGCGTCCATGCATGTTGAATAAGTCGCTGAGAATGTCGAACTAATCAACTCCATAATCCTATTTATAACTTCCTCAAAGAGATATGAGCAAAGTAGCATAATGAGCCAATGTTAACTAAAGCAGTCACCGGATAGTTTATTAGAAGTTTCGAACTGCCCTAGGCTTCTGCTGGTGCTTCTCAAGGCAAGAAAACTGCTTTAAAACAGACTCAAAGGGTTTGTCGCTAATTACTGACATTTGAAAGTCTAATAATAATTGGTTTTTGTGATAGTAACGGGTTAAAAGGTTTGGCATTCTCCACAAATCGTAGCACTAAAGCACTTACCCACTGTGCCGAACTGCGGTAATACTCCAGAGAGCTATCGTTCAATACCCCAAAAACTCCTTCGAACAGTGACTTGGCAAGAAAGCTCTTTCTTTTGGTCTTTCGTACCAGAATATTTCCGCAGAACCTTGCTCGTTCTTTTTTGGATTCCATGAAGACGAGAAGAATTTGTCGCAACTGCAAATTGCTTGAGCAAACTCATCTTACACCGCTTTGCATATTGGGAAAACGGAGTCTTATTTGCTCAGTGCGTTAGTTAATAAAAGACCAAGGCTCTGCCCATAGCCGCGGAATTCAGTTAGAAATCCTGCTTTCTATTTACGCACAACGTTTAGTTTTCAGGTCTTGCTGTTTGGCTCATGGCTTTAGCTTTACGCCTCACATTTTGTCGTTTATCGCCAGTACTTTAATAGATATGGGTTCTGGCGATCTCAGTAAATTGACAGATGCCGTGCAAGTCAGTTTGTTTTAGGTAGAGCAATTTCATACTGAAAGAAAAAATCTGTCGGAACTCGTTAGAGATTTGTGTACACTAGACATATTTCTGTAGTCATGAAAATTGACATGTTAATGAAGTAGCCATTCCTCGTTGAAAAACGTTCGCTTCCAAACTGATTTCATCATATATAAATAAATTAATCCCCAAAGAACTGTAAAAAAAGTACTCTTGATATGGGATTGGTGGTTGACTATGATTTACCATGATTTACTATGATTTACTATGATTTACTATGATTTACCATGATACAGACAGACGGTTAATGACGTCGAAGAAAAGAAAAAAGATTTATTTCAGTGGTTCGTCGAACGTCGGTCAATAATTTTTTGGAAAGGTCTGCGAAATTATTTATTCGATATATAGAATAAACAATCAAACTGGCTAATCGCACTCAAGGTTGATGACCACGATATTTCGGTGGACTTCTTTTCACCCATAACCTCAGAATTGATTGAAGAAAAAAAAGATCAAACGAAAAAGAACACCATATGGGATCAATGTTTTCCCTACTGTTTTCTTTCGTTTAGCACCTGTTGCACGATGGATCAATATAACGGTAATTTCTCGCTTCTCTCCGACATTGGAACTTAGTAGCAGCACAAGACTCTCTTAAGAGCACCCTTTACTTCAGTTTTACATTCCTGAAAACAACAAAGAGTTTGGAGGCCCTAGACTTATTTAATCAGCGTTTTAATATTCTTCTTTTTAGGAAGAATAAAATGGAAAATTTATAGTTTCAAAGCCATCTTTGACCTTTGGTGATTTAACTAGCACGTTTTGAAATCTTTGTGTTACTTCGATAGACTTGTGTGTGAAAAGGTGATCAATTCAATCGCAACTTCTTGAGCCGAATATTCGGGCATCTAGCGGATACCATAGTTAATCGTCTCCTCGATTAACTATGAGGATACCTACGAACCAGACGAAAATTAAACATTTTACAGTATCGACTCATCTATTTTAACAAATTTCTGACTTTTTTCAGCCAACATGGTTGGCATTTTTACTTTAGTATAAGATAGGAGAGGATTTCCAATTGGACAGCACAAATAGTTTACCTGTTAAACTTGCAATTGTCTAACTCTTTCAGTTCTGCAAAGTCTCTAGGACCTCTAGTGCAGGTTTAATTAGACGTGCCCAATTTCAATCTAGGGATGCGATGATCGACATTGAAACCTCTCGAAAGCTTTCCCGGTTTCCAAGCCAAGTAAATCGACTAAAGATAGCTGATAATTTCCTTTTTTAAAGCGATTCATCAGCCTTTTTTGTTGCAAGTCCGTTCTCTTTCCGCTCAATTTAGTGTATCTGAGCCATGGGAGTAGATTGTTTTCTTTCACCAAACTCGCCCCGCCTGTGACCTATATATTCTCAGATATATGCCCTGTTCTCAAAATTTTTGACCCACTCTCAGACAAGATAGTATAGTTATTTTTGTCGTAATCAAGACACCTACCCAGTGCTGGGACCCAGTGCTACAACCGGGCTTACGTCAGCGGACGGGCCAATAAAGCGATCACGAGAATATATGGAAATTAGATTAGTACCTTAGTTACTAAATTGAACTGAGGGGAAAATTTTTTTTCAAGGGCACGAGAACTCTCAATTCCGTCTTCATTATGTTGAAGATGGACGACAGAAGTACAGAAATTGAGTCGTCTTCGAACCTCTCAGAGGAACAAAATGACATCACAGGCAAGCTTTTACTGTTTATGATAGAATAACGTTCTGTTGTCGCACTTCGAAGGTGCAAACTTTGGAGATGTTGGGCCTTCTTGCTCCCTAAAACAGAAAGGTGTTAGAGTTCCCATTACCCAGAGGTCATCGGTCTGTTTAATACCATCGTTTGCCGGCTTCTAATGACGATAAAATCCCCTTGAAGTAAGAGAAGATTTTGGAAACCTTTGTTGCTTGTATTTGTAATTTTTTTTCCGCACTAGATATACCCAGCGGTAGCAGAAGCAGAGAAGGAAAGAGTAGAAGAAATCTAATTGGTTTCTGGTAGGAAAATTTCTCTATTTTTTCATACTCTATGCTGCATATCATAGTACTTCTTCAGGAGCCAGCCCAATAAACTATTTGTCTTACTGACAAGGTAACGATCGACCAATGCAAGGGAGCTCAAATATCGCCTATGTACAATTTGAGAGGGGATGATTAAGTCTGTTAGATATTTTATTTGTTTCACTGTTTGAATTGCTGTTGAAAGAAATAGAATTGTTTGATATCAGCTGTTGGGTGATTTTTGTTATGTGTGTTAAAATATGGATACAGTGATTAGGCTATTAGTTTCCCTAATTTTTATTTTAATTTTGTGCATGATTTAGGTTGCATAATTTTTATTTTAATTTTGTGCATGATTTTCCAGGCTTCTTGGCTTATGTAACAACTTTGGTTATGTGGTTATGTTGAGTGCTGCTCATGATATTCTTCATGAAGAGAAAAACAGTGATCAAGGAAACCAAGTATGGTTTGCACTCTTTCTGGAATAATAATAAGGAAAACCAGATTGCACAATTTACTGCTAATAAAATGATTGTGACATTTGATCAAGAACCACTTACACTAGTGATGACTAAACTTTTGACTGTTCTTTTGCAAACTACAGTTAACTGTCATTATTATACATTCTCTTACGTCTACAGACAATAGATTTTTAGAAGTAACATCATACCTATAGACAATAGATTTTATATATGTAGAAGTGACAATTGTACCTACAGAAATTGGTTTTATGTGCTCTTGTCTTTACAAGTGGAGCTCAGGAATATTGCTTGGCTAGTAATTAAAGGTTACTCATGTATCTATTTCTTCAGTGGTGGTATAAAGCTGCACAACCTTGAATAAATCACAGTCTTTAAAGAGTGCTTCTGACTTAAAAATGGGAGCTCTAATTGACTGAGAAATTTGCCATTTGCCAAAAATTGTTACCGCCCATTTGTTCTTACATTTGGTAAAGGAGGAAATATAGCTTTTCGACTAATGCGTGTTCTTTGTAAACTGTTTTTGGCTCCCTGAATCTTGCCACTCCATCTTCACTCATGGTCATGCACCATCTACACCAAAACAACTAATCATGCAGGCATGTTAACATAATGTTATGGAAATGGAAAAATTGCATTGCTTCATAAATTATTGTTCTTTTATTTGGGGTGGACTATGAAAAAAAATGTATCACTGCAGAGAAGAAGTTGTCTCAAAAACTTGTGCTTCGTGTTTCATCAGTGGTTCCAAACATCTCAAATCAATAGAAGCACTTGACCAGGAGCCCTGTGCTTCCATCTGTTTCTCGGTGTTTGGAACCCCTGAAGAAACACTTGCACTTGTTTTTAATACATTACATCAGAATGTGTTCTTGCTTGCAGTCTTGAATTGAAGCAGATGAGTGATGGAAAAAAAAATTAGAGATTACCATTTTAACTAAAAAAAATTGAAGTTTTTAACTTTACATTTATGAGATACACTGTAAATTGAAAACTTCTTTTCAAGCATTATAGTATACATAGTGTCTTGCTAAATGAAAATCTAATTGATATCTTGCAGACTTCAAACAATGCAAGTTTGACATTGGATATTAGTGGATCATTTAACTCAACTGATGGTTTAGAATGTAACCCTCTGTCGACTGGGGTATGGAAATAGAAATTTATATCAATTGAAAGTAACATTTTAAATGCACTGATAAAACACAATGGTTATCTGAAAATATCAATGTATACATGTACATATACACGAAAATGCTCTTCAGTTCAGGGTCAGTATGGATAGGGGGCAGTATATTTTCACTGTTGTAACATATCATTTTACTAATGAATGTATTTTCCAGACTGTTCTTTTGGCTGATATTTTACCAACACTCATTATCAAGATTACAGCACCCTTCTATATGCAAAGAATACCATACAGGTGAGATAAAGATCAAGTGTATTTATTTATCAATTGTTCAGACAAAAAGCAGAGAGAGAAAGAAGAAAGGGTTAATTACCTAGAAAGTCTTAATGATTTATGCTGTCTAAGATAGGAGGGGCTCATACATGTAGCAATGTCTCGTAGCTCAGTATATGCAGTTAAATGAGAAAATGGTTTGGTTTACACTTTTTTAAACAACACCAATTCCAATGATGGCCAGACAAACCATCAAAATCAACTAAACACACTGCTGCAACTGTAACACTACATTTAACTGCAACAACTAACAAACTGCTGTGCTGTGAAGTGCATTAAACAACATCCAATACTGACAGTAATTAGTTTTTGTAAACACACTAAGTACACCTCAAAAATAGTGGCAGCTTCAAAGGCACGCACTATCACAATAAACTGTGGGAGTTTCAAATGTGCAACCTACTACAACCCACACAAAACAGCATTAATTCCTACAACTGGGCAAATTAAAACCACTGTAACTTCCAACAAAACAAGCTACACCATATAAAGCCTTTTCTATAGACAAGCCCTGAGGTTTTATCTCTCTAGAGGTAGAATTCCTTGATATTAGAAGACATTGTGTACTGAACTTGAATGTACACCTACAATGTGTTTTACATGCCATGCAAATGCTAGTCTGGCACATGTATTATAAAAGCAGTACAAACTATAAAGCAAGCACAGAATATTACTATTTTGAGAGACGAGCAGCCACCTTATGAGCAGGCATGATTATAAATGGGGGTCTTGCATATGAGGTGAACACCAGAAACATGATGTAATATTATTTAAATAACACTTAGTCTAGCAAAACAGTTAATTTGATATTTACATTAGCTACAGTGTTGAAATTATGTACAGATATTTTTTTGTACAAGAAGATCTATATTCAGTTTGCAGTAGTTACACAAAGCACCTTGCCTGATAAGCTATAAGTGACAAAATTATCTGCAACAACCTTTCAATGCATTCTTTTAAATATTATTAAGTAATATCCCTTAATAGTATTGAGTTTTGCATTTTTGAGTGTGATATTCTTATGGTAACCTTAAATTATTTAATTCTCAGTTCACTTCCTCTTTTTCAGCATACGCATGGCAATATGCGTTTTGTTTGCCTTTGCAAGTTTTTTCATTGTGGCCTTTTCTCAAGCACTCTGGTTTAGTTTGTTAGGTGAGATTTAATTTAACAGTTTGTTTATTTAGTTTGTCTCAAAATAATTTTTTTTCTGTTCCACCAGCCCAAACTTATCTTAGTATTTGCAGCATGGAGTGACCAAGAGTACTACTTCTCCCCCCTGGGATGCTATCACTGCATTGCTGCCAGCATTTAAGTGGGTTTCCCTGATAATTCACCAGTACCCATTGCTTCATGAGTAAAGTCTGTGTTCAAGCTCAGTGGCCCACTGAGCTAATCCTGGTTTCTTTAGCATAAGCAAACGCAATGTAGGAATATTATTACTCTCCCCTGGATGGGAAGTCAGTCCGTTGTGAGGTTATACCCTGGCAGCATTTCATCAGGCCTCCCTGACAATTCACCAGTCCCCCTTAATACTCCTTGGTAAAGAGAGGGACTGTGAAAGATCTAGCCTGCTCTTCAACCTTAACCTTTAACCACTAGAGCCCTGGATCTCCCACAATATTGCCACATGCTTGTTTATTATTTTTTGTTGTTATTTTAGTTTTATGTCCTCTTGCTACTTGGCTGTTTATTTACCTTGATGGCAAACTAGTCAGTTTTTCTTCCAATTACCCATAACCAAATTTGTTTCATTTTCAATTAATTGATTTGTGACACTGCCCCCCTTTTTTTTGTAATGTTCAATTTTTCCTGTGTTCTAAATTCTACAAGAAAAACAAAATATTTGCTCGCAAATAGAATTTTTATGCCTTCTCTCTTTGACCCTGGTTTATTTCACAATCAAGGGGGACTGGGTTTGGGTCAGGGGTCAACGGCCATTACGCTTGACCCCCTCTGAGGGTTTTTACAAGTCACATTAACTCCCTAGCCATGTGCTCATCATTCGCCTCGATTACTCGGAGTGAGAAGCTGTTTTTTGACTCCCTCCTCCTCCCCCTGATCCGCCCACTTTCTCTTGTTGTATATTTAGTGTTGGTGCGTTTTTCTTGGCCCTCACCTTTACTGGGCAAACACCATAACGGAATTCATTCTTTTTCTGTTTGTTTCAATAAAAGCGGCGATGGACCTATTGTCCATAGCCATATTGCTCCAACTTAAGTTTGTTATTTTTTGGTGCCCAGTAAACAGAGCTCAGGCAAGAGCTGCGTTTGTAGATTTGTTTTGGGCAGAGAGAGAAAGGCATAAATGAAGATAATAAGTAATTTTGAAATCTGGTTTTAAAACAATCCAACTAAAGAAAAAAATTATTTAACTCCTTCATACCCAAACCTCTTGCATCTTCTTAGATGTACCAGTTATGTTTGGAACTCAAGGCATTTCCTAATACTCATGCATAATTATGTACAATTATATTTATCAAGATTTCTTTTTTTCTTATTCTTGAAGACATTCCAGGGCTTGACACTAACTTTTCAACTTACTAACCAAGTGGCTTGTGACACCTTAGATGTTATGACAATTTCAGTTTATTTACTAGCCAAACTGGCTAGTGGAAATTGAAAACCACTACTGATGAGCCAAAGCTGAATTTCTACTAGTCTGTAGCTAGTGGGCTACCATTAGTGTCCAGCCCTGCATTCATCAATTTAAACCCTTGCCTTTGCTTTTAATTTAAAACTTGCTCCATATATTTACATTTGGTCCATTAGGTGTGGTATTTGCAAGTATAAGTTCAGGATTTGGAGAAATCACATTACTGAGCTATTCAGCTCATTTTGACAAGTGAGTAACTTCAGTTAGTTCCATTGGAACCTTACGTAAGAATCATGAGGAGACACCCTTAGGGTACGTACATAAGAAGGCAAATCCATTATTGAAGGTTGCATATTTCACAAATTAAAGTCAGGTGCAGAAGTTTACAACAACCAACCAGCCTGTGTACCTGGCAGTGTTGTGAGTGCCTAAAAAGGAATGACCAAGTGCCTCGCAGCTTGGCCGCTGGGCAAGCCAGTGGCCACAAGGGTTGAAAGCAGTAGATGGCTATTTCTAAGAGCTTTATCCTTCTCAAGATATTATTTTGAAGATCCTTAGAGACCTTGGCAAGAAATTGAAACATCCTTAAGGATCTTGGATCCTTACAAGAATTGTGAATATCCTTTAATACAGATTTTCCAAAAATCTTCCCAAAGTTCCTCTTAGGATACTTGAAGGTTTTTATAAAGATATTTTAGGATCCTTAAAGCTCCTTTAAAGATTTTTGCCAGGGAATAGCTATAACAATAAACAATCCAGGGTAGAGAGGATGGTGGAACAAATGCCTCATTTTTTATTCCAGGCCTCTGATTTGGCTTCATTGGTTTGACTGAATCAAAGAATTGATCTAAAGCATTACAGATAAAGATTTCAGTACACTTCATAAAAATTATACGAAAAACCCCTGTTTTTTGTATTCACAGAGATGTTGTATCAACATGGTCTTCTGGCACTGGTGAGCATTTCATTTTAAAATGACATTTTGTCATTTGACAGATTTCTATTGTGTGTCATATTGAGGTATCCTACCTCCAGAACTTGTTCATTTGCATACTAGAGACCCATGCCCTAGCTATTGCAGTAACAGTAATCAACTTCAGTGTGCATGCAAAATCTTGCAGCTTAATTGTTGAACACATGGTACCAATTAAGTACTGTTTTTTAAGGTAATTGAGAATGGTACAGATACCAAAATGTTTGCCAGCTAACTTCATGTGATGGCGTGTGGCAGTTAGTGAGAGCAGTTTGTGGTACCGGTACCATTCTATTAGTCACCAAATTACAGTTATTTATAAACTGCAATAAACCACACTTTCTAATGGTTTACTGGGGAAGAAGCAACTTGTGCTTTTCAACTTTTCTCTCAACTTTCCAAGTGGGCATGTCGGTAAACCCATAGAAAGTGTGGTGTATTGCTGTTATCAGATAAGCTTCTATTTGCTATAGGTTTATCAGTGCTGCGATGAATAATAGGTTTTGACAATTTAGGTTGCTTTTAGCACCATTATAGTTATATTGGATGGGTATTTAATTATCATTTCATGCAGGTCCGAAAAAAAAAATTAAGTAAACATAGTTTCCAGATGGGATCCCATCTGGAAACTCGATTTTTTAAATTGTTTATTTTCATTTCTACATGCTAAGTAAACATAGTTATATTAAAGTAAATATAGATTATATCTGTTATTTTTGGTAGGGGGTGCTGGAGTATTTGGTGCACTATCCTATGCTGGGTTCACCTCCGCAGGGGTCACTCCCAGAAACACAGTCCTAATAATGAACGTCATACCATTTACACTAGGAGTCAGGTAAATGAATTTGTTCAACCTCTTAACTCCTGTCCTCCCCCATTAGTCACATTAAGTGAGGGGAGGATTGGGATCCATAAGCAAGGAAAGGGTTTACCTGGCCTTTGTGTTTTCAAGGGTTAGCAAATCCCTAGTACGGGTATTCAAGATAAAACCCCAGTTTTGTTTAACCTTAAAGGTACAGGAGTAGGTGTCTTTATAGGGTTTCACAGTAAGAATAATTCAAAACACACAGTCACAATTAAGAAGTGAAGTTAGTAAGTAAAGTAAGTATAGTAGTTAAACGTATTAATGGTTGTAATGTTCAACATACGCGCCCGTCTTCCGGCAGAGTCATTTTAAGTTGGTGAAGGTATCCGTTACATCTGAATGTTTTACAGACGATAATCTCTGTTCTGAATACCCTTTTCTCTAGCTACTGGTTCATCCTTGAACATCCCAAGGGTGTAACTGAACGGGAACCTTTGTTGGAAACAGAAAGGACAGAAGGGGCTGGTAAGTATGACATGACAAGAACTGTGTCACGCAAGGTGACCTGATACTTGCATTCCCTATTTTCGTTGGGATCCTAGATAGGACTAGATAACATCTTTGAAGAGGCTAAACTTGAAAATGCTCTTCTGTACCCTTCATAAGCTTTTCTCTTTTTTATGCTCATCTTCCTCAAACTTAAGTAACCTTAAAATGATAAATAAATAAAACTGACCCGCATTACCCAACACGTTTTAAGCTAAGGGAAGCAAGAACATATGAGAGCCTTGGTAATTTTTTTGGTAAATTAGTTGAAACAGTCACATTTCCTTTTTATTTGCTGTCGCTTGATGGTTTTATTCTGATTGTATTCGTTCTTTTGTACCTGTCAGAAAAGCTCCCTGTTGATCCGCTTACGATTAAAGTGAAACTTATCATTACCAAGGTAAGCTTGTGAAGTCATTCACGATGTACTTTCATTGATTAATGCAAATAGATAAGAACCCCTAAAAACCTATTTCTTTACTTTTCCTTTTTTCAAAAGTCATTGTTGAAGTTTATGCTGCCGTTATTCTTTGTTTACTTTGCGGAATATTTCATCAACCAAGGTTTGGTAAGTACCCTTTTCTTTACGCCTTGCCTCTCATAACTGTTGCGGTGTCCAGTCTTTTCGTCCGAGAGTCTTTTCGTCCAAAAGTATTTTCACCTAAGTCTGTTCGTTTACTTGTGAAGTCTTTTCTCGAAGCAAATAAATAACTTTTAGAAGGCTAGATAAGGTTATAGAAAGAACTTGTTGCGAGCCGCCGCCATTTTGGTACCGATACCTTTAGTCACCAATCTTCGTTTACGAATTCAACGTCATGAATTTTACGATAAATACACAGAGAATGAATGAAGTTGTAAGCG